GTGCGGTCGGCGTAGACGTCATGATCGCGCTCCATGACGCCCACGCGACTGCTGCGGGGAGGCTGCGACATGTAGTCGGTCTCTTCAAAGTCTGTCGCTCTTCTGTGCGACATTTCTTGTTCTTCTCCTTTGTCCAAATCTCACTCTTTTCCCGCCCAGGTTGACCTGTCCCTTTGATGAAATTTGGATGAGCAAATGTGATATGGGGGGGGGGGGGGGGGGGGGCAGGACCGTTTGAGTGACGTAACGGCACTTTCCGTCCCGCGTCGGGCCGCTATCGCGGGGGGTCGTAGAAGTAGCAGACTATGCAGTACTTTGTATGCTTTCCCGCGATAGCAAAGCAAAGTGTCAAAAAAAAAAAAGAGAAAAAAAAAAGAAACAAATCCACAGCAGATGCTTAAAAAAAAAAAGAGGGAAAAAGGCTCTCTTCAACGACTTTGAGAAAAGCAAAGACAGTTGCGTGAGCGCTTAACGCCAGGTGGAGTTGGTCAGGCCTCTGTGTCGTATGGCCAGAAGGGAAGAAGAAAAAAAAAAAAAGAAGGCTGGGCTGGGCGGCGAGCGGGCCACTCTTGTGTCAAAATGTCATGCACCTCATGCATCAGCTGGCCCAGCTGGAGCGGCCGAACCCCTGTCTAGACGGTGCTGGAGCCTGAATCTCTTCAATAAATAGATGCCAGGTTGCTGATCAAGGCGTTATTTGTTTTTGTTCAAAAAGGCGGCATCAGCCTGACTTCTGCTGTGGGAGGCGCCTACATCCTGTCTAGACATTGTCAGAACATGAATTCCTTCAATAAATATATACCGGGCCATCATCAAAGGCAGCCTGAGTCTCCACCATGTTCCGTGTGGCAGCAGCCCAGCACATCATGCTGGGCAATCACAGGGCAATTCGGGAGCCTGTCATGTACCTAACTGGATGTGCATGGGGTCGGCCACTCCAAGGCAGCACCCTTGCACCTGCTATATTAGTGATCAAATATCCGTACGTCACAACCGTCATGCTACATGGCGGTATCTTGCCTTTGCAAAGTGAAGATGATTCTGTTGCACAATTTATGCTAGACAAAGTATAGGGGGGGAAAAAAATTAAAAAAGTCTGCCCAAACTCCCTTCCCATTCACGCGGCACATCACATCACATCGCGCCGTAATCCATAACATCGTAACTATTCTTGTGCCTTCGACTCGGACCGACATCTACACGAGTCCCCGCTTGACGTCCTTTGCCAGCAAGCCTTTGAGGTTCGACTCTGGCCTGACGTGCTGCGGCCGACCGCCGAGTACGTCGACAATGTCGCGCATCTTCAGCCACTCCGACAGCTTCGGCCGGCGGTTCGGCCAGTCCGTCTCATGCTCCTCGAGCTCCTGCACCGGTGTCAAGACGAGCTCTGATCCCTTGATGCCGATGACGGAGCTGCTCAAGGGGTCGGTGCTGCCCGCGGCCGACTTCTTGCCGTATCTCTGCAGATGCTCCATGCACTTGATGGCGTGCCGCACCGCGCGGCACCGGTCCATGGGCGACGGCACACCGCCCTGCTGGACGTGGCCCGGGATACTCTCGCGGCTTTCAAAACGCCCGTGCGCCTCGTCACGGATGATGCTGGCAATCAGCTTGGCGTCGTAGACGTGGCTGGCCTTTTCGTTGATGAGGATAAGACGACCCGCGCGGGACTGGCCCGTGTCTTCGGCAAAGACCCTTTTGAGATGCGAAACATCAGTGTTGAGCATGTCGAGGCTGATACCTTCTTCTGGAATGTAGACGGCCGAGGCGCCAACGACCAGACCAGCAAGAGTAGCAATGTAGCCAGAACGACCACCCTGCGTCTCAATGACAAAGACACGACGGCGCGTGGCAGAGGCCGACTGCTTGATTTTATCGCAATATTGAACGAGTTCATTGAGACACGTATCGGACCCGAGCGAGTATTCCGTTCCGGGCACATTATTTGAGATGGTGGCGGGAAGCAATACCATGGGAATGCGAAGCGAAGGGAAATCGTCCCGCGCAACCCGCAGTTGTGAAAGTGCGTGGAAAGCTTCGAATCCGCCGACCATGAAGATGGCGTCAAACTCATACTTGGCAATCAGGTTTGCAATGTGCTCCATGCCGGACTCCGAGGGCAACTCTCGGTTTGTGCCAATTTCAGAGCCTCCCTTGCTGGCCCAACCGTCCACCTCGAGCCAGTCGAACTCGCGGACAGCGCCAACAGGCTTGTCGCCATGATGGCGGGCAAATCCGGCAAATCCGTTGTGAATGGCAATGGGTGTATGCCCTCGCGAGAAGCAGTAGGCGACAGCCGCGCGAACAGCAGCATTCATGCCTCCGGCCGGCGCCCCGACATTGATGAAGCCAATCTTCATGCGATCCTTTTCGGGAAGCTTGTGCTCGTCCGTCTTGACGTTGGTTGTCGTAAGATAAGATTTGTACTGGTCAGAGAACTCAGTGTCACGGAGCGACATGGCCTTGTCGAATTGCTTGTCCTCGACAGCCTTGGCAACAGACTTGGTCGCCTCGACAGCCTTCATGAGCGGCTTACGAACAATCTTGTTCTCGTTGATGGCGATGAAGCAGGTTTCAGTCTCGGGCGTAGCCTCGAGAACGGCCTTGACAGCTTCGACGCCCTGCAGAGTGCCGAGCATGCGATCGTACGCGACGGCTGTGCCACCGCGCTGCACATGGCCCAGAGTGGTGATGCGGGTGTCGAGAGCCAATCCGCCGTGGGACTTGTCGGCCAGCAAGTTTTTGATCTGTTCGGGCGTGATTTTGTTGCCATCCTTGTCGTTGGCGCCCTCGGCCACAATGACAATCGTTTTGCGCTTGCCAATGTCGCGGTGCCTCTTGACGACGGCGCACATTTCTTCGTGCCAGCAGTCGCTGGCGGGTCGTTCCGGAATAAAGACAAAGTCAGCACCAGTGGCGACGCCCGCGAGCAGCGCCAGCCAGCCGCAGTGACGACCCATGACTTCAATGACAAACGCTCGCGAGTGGGAGGCGGCCGTCGCCTCGATGTAGTCGACCATCTCACAGATTCGGGAAAGGGCCGAGTAGCAGCCAATGGTGGCGTCGGTACCGGAGAGATCATTGTCAATGGAGCCCACGAGGCCGACAATGTTGAGATGCTTGTAGGGCTTGACCTGGTCGGCAGTCAATTGGCCCGTCGAGACGAGCTCCTCGAGCAGCGACGGCCATTCGTGGCGAAACCTGTCGGCGCCCGTGAGAGAACCGTCACCACCGCAGATGATGAGGGCGTCGATGCCGTTAAGCACCATGTTCTTGGCGGCCTTGACACGACCCGGCCGCTCGTAAAACTCCATGCAGCGGGCGGTGCCGATGAGCGTGCCACCCTCGGAAAGGTAGCCGCGTACCTCGGACCAGCCCATCTGGCGGATCAAGTTGCCGCCTTTTACCAGACCCTCGTAGCCTTCGTAGATGCAAAAGGCATCGCAGCCCATGTGGATGGCGGTGCGGACAACGGCGCGGACGACGGCGTTCATGCCCGGGGAGTCGCCTCCCGAGGTCATGATGGCGATTTTCTTTTTAGGGGCCTCCATTGCGGCGGCGGGTTGAAGCAAAGCCGACGACTACAGAGGTAGTTGAATGTAGGATATCGAGAGTGAAGCTTGCGGAAGTGACGGGCACCAGCTACCAGAGAGCTGGCAGCTGTAGCTGTAGTTAATGAATACCTGAGGAGCTGCCAAGGATGGAGGGACGCTCAGCCACGCAACACGTGATTGTGGCAACAGCAGGAGCAACAACTGCAGCAAAACTGCAGGTCAATGGCGTGGTTTTTAAAGATGAAAGAAATCGTCAGATACAATGGCGTTATGATGCCTGCCAGGCGAGCTTTCAGGCCAAAAAAAAAGTCGCACGGCTTGAGTGCATCCCAACGAGGGGCAGAGAGCTCTTATCGGTCCGGAAACAGCTATCGCTATCTGGAAGCCAAGTTTAGCTGCGTGGGGCACCTGAGTTCGGTGCTATTTAACGATGTCTTAGTGGCTGCTTAGTGGTCTCGCACCAGTTCTGACAGCACCCGCCCACTATAAACTAATACCTCACCGTACCCACAATGCTTGATACTTGTCATGTTACTGTACCGATAATCATCATAATTGATTGCCAGCGCCAACAGGCCGCGGAGGGATGCATTCATGGGTAATACACCTGAATCAATCTTGTACAAGACACATACTTCAGTGAGCATAATGCTCAACGGCATAATCATTTGCATTGCATACCACGGTGCTTTGCAAACCATGGTATCTCAATGCCAGCAGCGCCCACATACTCTTATACTTGTAATGTCGTGCTACAAAATAAAACAGAAAACAAACTCCTCTCCGATATCTCAGCAAGAAAAGTGCCCTGCTGGCCAGCGCTCTCTCTATGCATCGTGGGATGCATTCTCCAAGCTATTTAGCACACGGCACATCATACACGCAGCCAACAAGTCACATCCCAACGCGTCTGCCCAACTCAACGAAGGAAAAGTGCTTCCGATCCATTTCGTACCGACCTTGTGCGGTCGGGGTGATCCAGACCTAGGAAGTCGTCCTCAGAAGTGGCCATGGTCCAGAGCTCGTCGTCTACCAAGTGTTAGCAGCGGCCGCAGCAAGGGGACTGCAGTGGATACTCACCATCTTCAAGATACCGAAGTTTTGAAGGGTTGCTCCTACGCACAATGGCGAACTTGATCTTTTCAAAACTTTTGCCTTTGAGGCCGGTTCTCTTTTCCAGACGCTTCTTGCTGTCCGCAAACCTCTCGCCCTGCACCTTGTTAGTCTCATCCCATGGGATACCGAATGACCACCACCGTAAGCCGCCACAAGACATACCTCGACAAGAAGAAATCTAAACGGCACACCATGAGTGCGGCTGGGCTCATTCTGGAAATGAAACACCTGGATATAGTTGGCTTCGTTGGCGTCCTGCTCGTCGGCGGGCACACGCTCTGCGTAAATTTGCGTGTATTCACTCAGATTCTGCACAGCATGATCGCGGACAGGCTCGCGATAGAATTTGTTAGAACTCGTTTCGTAGACGCGTATCCTCCCTCCTTCGGCCTCGTCCGCGATCCTAGCCTTTTTGACCAGAGCCTGAATTAGGTCCTCAATCGTTCCCGTCTTGGGCACAAGGAGATCAAACTGCTCCTCCTTGGCGAGACCGTCGCTAAGCCAAGTGAGCTTGACGCTTTTCTTGGTATCCAGCTCTGCCAGACTCATCTCAAGCACTTCAAAGTAAAATGCATCATTTCTTTGACTAGAATTCAGGCTTCCTCCGGTGGGATGGAGAATCTGCCGCAGAGTTGGGTTGGTGCCTCGCCTCACCGGCGCCTTGGGGTTGTTTGTAGATGCATTGACAGTCCACAAACGGATGTGTGTTGGTTCCACCTTGAGGTATGCCCCCACGCTCTCGGACAAAACGTCGTAGGTAATCTTGGAGTTAAAAACGAGTTCGAATGCGGGGTACTTTTCCTGGTCGCAGCGAGTAGGATGGGCGTGGAATCGCACAGTCTTCCTGTGCTCCAAGAAGTCGTAGTACTCTCTGGCATCTTCCATACGATCGCCTAATGGAGCCTGTTCCTTGTTCGATGCATCTGACATGCGGGCTTGGAGCTTATGCTCCGACGTCTTTTGGAAACAGATGATGTCTCCATCCTGCAGTTCAGCCATCTTTAGGGTGAACTTCGGCTTAAGAGGTTCAATCATATTAGGCTTGATCTCCTCCCAGAGTAACAAGCGTTCGTCATCAGCCAGCTTGGCCTCCCAGCCCATGGCGGCGTGGATCAGTGGTACCATGTCTTCAATCTTCTTATCCTTGGCCATGTAAACGTGACCCACGCCGCGCAGCTCCTGCTTCTCTACGTCAAAATACTTGAGTAAGAGAAGAATAGTATCCTCTTTGGAGCCGTTTGCCGCCGGCGCTTGGTATGAAGGCCAGATGGCCTCTCCGTCGTTGTCGACTTCGGTCGCAACCTCGGCCCAAAGTCGAAGACTCGAATCTCTGTGTGCGGCGGAGCGGGCATAAGTCTCCTCCACAGTCAGAGTCAAATCCATGACAGGCTGATCAGGACGGATAGTTTTGTTTTGTCGATTGACCATGAGCCAAAGGCGGACTTTGCGAGGGTCCTCGCCAATGTCGTGTGCGACCTGCTGTACAAAGTCTTCCATGACAGTTGACTTCTTGAGGCGATACGACCGGGGAGCCGACTCATCTTCGGCGTCGATGTCAAAACGGCCCATGTCGGTTTCGCCATAGTTGCGAAAGGTCTGGTTAGTGATAACCTTGGCCATCATGTAGAGGTGGGCTTCACGTTGCTCCTTGCGACGGGCCTCCTTCAAAGCGTTCTCTTCCTCAAGACGCTGCTGTAGATGCGAGGGAATATCATTTTGGGTAACAGGGCAGAGAATCTTGTCGACGCGGCTTTGGCGAATATAGACCAGCATGTAAGCACTGTTCTGACGAACAGTCGGGGCCTTCTTCTGCAGGGGGGCTCTGGTATATCCGTTGGGAATACGCTCCTCGCCGCCATAGTTTTCCTCTAAAACCTCTCGTAGAGTAGCCTTGGTGACCTTGTCGTCGTCGTACTTGTAGAACCAGCCGTCCTTGTTGGGCTTGATAAAGGCGTAGTAGTGACCAGCGTTGAGATCGCCGCTGTGAACAAGGACGCCGTGCAGCTGGTATGTCCAAGGCTCGGATGTATCGGCATCGTCGTTGAGATAGGGAGCAGCGTCAAAAACGTCAGGGAATTCGTAGCGGTCGTTGATCTTCATCATCATGTCTCTTTGAATGTCGTACTCGAAACGCTTGAGCTGTAGGTGAAGGACATCGGGAAAACTGTTAAAAATGACACCCTTGTCTGCGTCTTGCAGCTTGTGCTCGTCGCCGGCGAAATACTGGTTCTCGCCGTCCATCTTCTCTACCTGAATGTAGTCGCGAAAGCTGTCGAGCAGGCTCTTGTTGCCGCTGACGTTGAGCTGAATGTCCCAAAAGTCTTCGACTCGACTTGATTCATAGTCGACATTGATGCAAGAAATGTACGTCTTGATCTTGCCGCTGAATATTTCGGGGAGGACGTTTTCGGCCTTGGTGCCCTTCATTCTCTCCTCTAGTCTCTCCATGAGCTTGCGCGAGAGTTCTTGGACATCTTGTTGCTCAAAAATGTGTCGTGTTTCCCATCCAAATGACTTTGTCAACTCGTTTGTGCCTACGGCCTGGTCTGAAGTTTGCAATTGATAGAATAGCCGTTGCAAGGTGTAGGCAGAGTTTGTCAAGCTATCGTCATTTTCAGTTGGAATTTCGTAGACGGCCTGGAAAAGTCAGCATGAGCGGCGTTGAAATAGAAGAATGCTTACCTTGCGGAAGGCGTTCGTGAAATATAGTGACTGAAGTAGGGAGTTGAGGTAGCACGTGGCGCCCTGGTTCTTGAGACCGACATAGCCGGTTTCGACCTTGGAGTCGTAGTGGAGAAAATTGTGCCAAAGGACGCCTGTTTCGTCTTCGACCAGGCGAACGTAGGCGGTAATGTTGGCTGTCTCGTTCTCGAGAAGAGGTCTAGTGCTATTCTCCCAGGGTACATTGAACATTCTTCTGCTCTCCACGAAACGTGTGAAGCCCCAATCGCCCTCCTCCTTGGTGAAGCGGTGGTGGGCGGCATGGTTGGTGTATAGGCTGGGGTCGTTGGGATTCCAAAGAACGAGGGCAAACTGAACACAGCAGCTCCAATTGTCTGGTACGGCATCGAGGTCAAAGCCGTGCTCGAGATAGATGGAGCAGTGATCGGTGTTGTTTCCATGGGGAAATAGCAGAATGCGCCTGGAGCAAAAGTTAGCAAAATGTGGCGAAACCCGGGGTGAGGGCGTCTTGTATGGCAACGCACCAAGGAAACCCGCCAGCGTGGAAGACGGGACCATGTTCCTTCTTGCCGAGGCTGCGCCAGTTTTCAACGGTCCATGTGTTTACACAGTCCTCGAGTATCTTGGGCTGGTCGAGCAGTGGGGGGAGAACAATGTCCTTCATGGCCTCATCTGGGTCAGGGTAAAAAGGTATTAGCATTCGATGTATTGGGGAGGAGGGGACATGGCAGGTGGCGAGTGACATTAGAACATACAGTCGTTGGCCAGAGGAAGATCTTGGAGAGGTTCGCTTTCTTGGTCGACATTGTCGGGGTTTATGATGGCGAAGGAGTCGCGGTCGGCGATGCTGGAGACGTCGACGTACTCGGCGGCGTCGACGTCCATCTCGCTGGGAGAAGGAATGTTGTAACTCTGGGTGGAAAGGGTGTTGTTAGTAAAGCGATAGCGCACGCGCGGCGATGTAGATTCGGGCACGTCCATTGGGAGGATGAAGAAAAGAAGATGCAGAGAAGTGGTATCAAGAACGCAGAAACTGGGTATTAAATGCTGAAGCTTGGGCGAGCGGGGCAAGGAGTCGATGTGTGCGTAGACGGCACGGCGATAGTGAATAGAAGGAAATAGTATAGCAATGCGCCGAGGGGGACAATGAGGTTGAAAGCGGCGACGGACGGCTTGCAGGCGAGACGAGCACAAGGCGTCCCGGTGAGCGGCAGCAGGAGGCGAAAAAATTGTCGTGAGGCAGCAAGAGCAGGGATGGCGGCGAAAAGGAAAGAGGGCGACGGGAAGGTGAAGCAAGACTGACCATGATTGCCAATTACGGATTCAGAACGCGGACTCCGTAAGAGGACGAAGAGAAAGGCCCGTTTGGGGGGCAGGGTGCTCCGAGGTGCGATGCAAGAGCAGTGGAATGAAGTCAGTGGACGGGTGGTGGGAGGCGTCACGTCACGGCCGCGGCGGGGTGCAGGTAAGCTTTGGCTTTGAACAGGCGGTTGGTGGGTTACCAGTAGGTAGTGGCACCAACGGGGTTTTGCAATGCTAAAAATGTACCCAGTTGCTAAGCCAGGCTGTGTTGTATGCTGTTGGGCTAGTAATCCGTAGAATCGCAAGAGATCCAGAGTCGAGTTACGAAGAAGAGCCGGCCACAGGCGTCAGGAGTCAGTCTATGATGATGCAAATACAACTTGGAAGAGACGCGGCGTTGAGGACCATCTGCGTGGGTACAGCCCTGACCAGCCAACTGCGCATATTATGGCAGGTACCTTTTCATCTGCAGCGAGGTACGTTCAGCGCCTGCACCAACAGCAGTATTTAGCAGCTGCTGTATCGGTAATTACCTCCAAGGCAGGTGTCGTCAACTGATAGGCTGGTACCTCACTGCCGGCGCTCAAATAACGACAATACATGTACTCCTTTAACTCAGTACTGTTTGGCATTTTGACTTTTCCCTTCCCCGCAGAGTGGCTGACGGCCGCTGCGAACTGGTGAATAGTGATCAATACTCACACAGTACGGAATACACGCGGCATATCCAGGCATTCAAGTGACTAGCCGTATTCCTGTACCAAGTAGCCCGAAGGTGAGTCGATGTTTCCAAGACTGACCTAATCACGGCCGCCCGTCTTTGTTCAGCGAGTCGTCCTTGAGCTATCCACGCCGCAACGTCTCAACGCCGGCAGCCAGCTTTTGCCACTCAACCACCACCTCCATATCGTTGTATTTGGTCCGGAGCGGGTCCAACAGCCTCTTTTTTCTGGGCCAACTGGCGGTCGACGCCATCTCCATACCTGCTAGGCGGGATATACGGCACAGACCAGCCCCCAACCGAGCTGTTAGGCGAGCTTCCCTGTTGTTCAAGACGTACCTAGGGTAGCGCACACAGGTACATGGCATCACAAGCCAGTGCAGCTCATCACAGCTCACTGGGTAGCTTTGGAGGCTCCCGAGAGAGTTTTTGCACCTACCTCTGCGCGACATTGAGCTGTGCTCCGTCGCGCCACCGCCGGCATGTGAAAAGCGGGAGACGAACGTGGCTGGGATCGTCTTTCCGGCTTCCCCAATTTGAGCGAGGGGTTCCCGGACAGGCTTGCTGCGACCGACAGGACATGAAGCCAGTAGTGACCGCTTTGAAGGTTGCAAAACTCATACAAAAACATCCATCAATACCTCGTGAAATCCAAGTTTGGCCAGTTCCCATATCCAACACAAAACACACGCGTCTAGACTGACGAGTGGCCTGACCCCTGAACTGATGTCCTCTGCCTACATAATCCGCACTGCAACGCACTTACCGCGTACCTCGTTTCATGCTAATAAATTAGTTTGCTATGTGCAGTAGCTGCCAGCTAAGAGACTCCGTTGTCACAGTAGCATCATTGGGCCGCGAGACAAGAGGCGTCGAGCCTTGAACTGGGCATGCAGCAAAGACGGGATGGGCGCACTACTACATATAGATGGTTGGAGATGGCCAGACGACGGCCACCATGTAGCGCGGGGAACAACGGGTTCATCAAGTGAGGGGAAACCTCGTAGCTCCGAAGCGATTCATTCTCTTTTCGTCTTTCCGAGAATTCTGAGGCCTTTTTAACCTCTTTCCCGTCTCTCTTGATTTCTCTTCTTCAAAGCTCTGCTCACATTTGCTGTTGTGAGTGATCTCCCGTCTCTCGCTTGCGATCGGGAGCCGATACCGCTTCCCATTGTGGGGTATAAATCCAGACGAACAAGAGCCCCCGAAATTCAAGCTGTCACCTTCCCGGTCCAGTCACAAGCTCTCCTCGGTGGTCCAGAAAAAAAAAACCTACGTCTCTACCATTTCCACGCATACGACAATTTCTATTCCTCTCAAACCTCTTGAATCTCTTGCATCTAACCGTATCTTGTGCCTCTCTCCAGCTCTGATTCGTTTCAATACCATCTCTCCTTGGCAGACATCGTCGCCGCATCGACACCAATTACAGGCGCCATCCGCCACCCGCTGCACGCGAGCAGCGACCGACTTGCCCCTACCCAGGGAGCCGCCTCCCCATTTGAACCGCGCAAAGACGGCCTGTACCGCTGCATGGACCGGTAGTGATGCTTTCGAGCTCAATGCGCCACACACGGCCGCGGCAGCGGCTCATCAATCCCTTTGCCAGGGCCACCGCCAGACCCGGCGCCGCATCGTCGTCGCATCCGTGTCCGATGGCCGGACGCGGCGCTGCCACAGCCGCCGCTGCCTGGCGTCCAGTCTCGGTTCTTGACGAGTACGTCCACACCACCAGCTCCTGCGATGCGCTTTTATTCTCTTCAAGCAGAGCTAGCCCTTTTATTCGCTGCAGCGCATAATCAAGGTTGATTTACGCTGACGCTTTGCAGCTGGGTTGCTCGTGAGGCCCGTCCCATCAGCTTGCGCCAGCTCATGGTCTTTGGCCGCTCTCTCACCGAGTCCCGCCTCATCAGCTCAGCCAACTATGTCCGGACAGAATTACCATCCAGGTAAGCACTCGGGCCAACAATCTACTTCTCCTCCATCGAGTCGACAATCAAAGCTGACTCTGACAGAATCGCCCATCGCCTTCGCGACATGCAGCAGCTCCCTTACGTCGTCGTCACGAACCCCCACATTAACGACGTCTACAACCTCTACTACAAAGCTTTTGACACCTTTCGTAAGATCAAAGAGGTCAAAACCCTCGAGGACAACGACCGGCTATGCGAGATCATCAGCGAGAACCTCAAGGGTCATCTCACCGTTATCCCCAAGCTCGCCATGGGCATCCTCGAGTGCCGCGGCCTGATGAACCCGCAGGACCTCGACAAGTTTATGAATACCATTTTACGATCCGTACGTCCCCAACCCTACACCCCCCTTTCTCTGCCACTTGTGTTTCCCTACTCCCTTCTTATTCCGCAGCTGTCTTCCATGGAGCAACACACGCTAATACCCCACCACAGCGCATATCTCGCCGCGTCATTGCCGAGCAGCACCTCTCCCTCACCGAGACCTACCACTCACCGCACTTTTCGCCCGGCGCCAAGCTCTCCGAGAGCGACTTCATCGGCGAGGTCTTTATTCGGTGCCAGGCCCGCGACGTTATTGACCGCTGCGCCCGCGCCGTCACCGCCCTCGCCCGCTCAACCAACGGGCCTGACGCCCAGGTCCCCGCCGTCCACGTCGACGGCCACCTGAGCGCTTCCTTCCCCTACATCCTCAGTCACCTTGAGTACATAATTGGCGAGCTCCTCCGCAACTCTGTCCAGGCCGTCATCGACCGTCAAGCTAAGCTCCGCGAGAAAGCAGTCGCGGCGGCCGCCGCAGGATCAACAACCTCCACCACGCTCAACGCCGCCCTGAATCAGCCCCCGCCGCCAATCGAAGTCACCATCTGCGAGGCCCAGGAGCACGTCATCATCCGCATCTCGGACCGCGGCGGAGGCATCCCCCGCGACGAGCTCCCCTACCTATGGTCCTTTTCCAAGGGTCCCAAGTCCGCCAACCGTCTCGAGAACCTCGGTCAGGTACCCCGCATGGCCGCGACCATGCAGGAGCTGCACATTGACGAGCTCGCCCGCGCCGACCTCAAGGCGCCCTCCTATCCCACGCCGCCACCACCAACACCATCGCCCCTCCAGCAGCCGCCCTCCGCCGCCACGCCGCACACACCCTCGCAGCAAAACTCTCTTTCTAGCCTCACAAGCCGCCCGCCCAACCTCCGCCTCGGCATGGGCCTCCCGCTCAGCCGCGTGTACGCCGAGTATTGGGCCGGCAGCCTACATGTCCACAGCCTCGAGGGCTACGGCGTTGACGCCTTCCTGCAAATCTCACGCCTCGGCAACAAGAATGAGCAGCTCACCACGCGCGCCAGCATGGATGCCGTCTGAGGTGGTATCGTACGAGATGGGGTGCGCTGCGCCGCTACTTCTTCTGTATATATATCTGATCCGTGGACGACGTGGTGACGATGGCGTATGGGCGTCATATGAAATGACTCTGCAGCTTCCTATTGAAAACGAAAGAAAACATTGCCCAAAGTCCAATCTTTCAGTTATGAGGGCCGTGTTCGGACGTCGAGTGCAACTTTTTATTCTGCTTTTTTTGTTTGCTTCTCTCGTTTGCTTCAGTCGGGGCGGTCGTAACGAGGAGTTCTGGTCATATTGCATGGTACACATGTTTTTTGGGAGGTTTCAACTGTACTTTTTTTTTTTTAGCATTTACACGAGGCAAAAGCCGCCGTCAATTCAAAAGGCACACATCATAACCCATCATCTTGTTTAATTAAAAGCAACGTAAATTCAATATACCGGAGTCAGGTTAATAAAGGGAATAATAAAGGCTACATTATCAAAACTTGCACGACAAATCTTGCTCGTTAAGGGACATATTAACTTTTTGGCCCTCGACGGCCATTTCCACAAAAAGGTCCGGCAGCGAGCAAGCAAGCGCTGTTCCTCCACAATCCACGGCGTCATTCAGTATGACAGACACATCATCAACGCTGGAAGCTGCTACCAAGAATATCCATGCCTGTATTTCTCTGTCGGTACTATCGCCCTAATCAACCACGAACCCGACAGGGTGTGGATGCGAAAACGCCGATTCTTGGCTGCATAGCCGCAGGTTTCGCAAGCAAGACGTGAAGCATCGGCAAAACGCTTAGCGGCGGCCATGGCTGCGGACAGCACTGCCCTGCATGGACTCGAGCTCCGACTCGAGCTGCTTAATCTGGGCATGAGTCTGCTCGAGATCTTTGTTGAGACGGTCGCGCTCGGAGATGAGCTTCTGCTCCCATTGACGGAAGCGCTGTTCCTCGATCTTAACCTGCTCAGTAAAACGCTTGCGGAGAGCCTCCTCCTCCTCCTTAAACTTGGGGTTGTCGAGCTTGCGAGGGCGGGCCTCGCCAAACTTGCGCGTCTCCATCTGCTGAGCGCGGTAGGCCTCATAGTGAAGCTCCTCGGTGGTATGAATAAGATCGAGCATGTGGGTGCGAATGAGAATAGATCGAAGCTTCTTAAAATCGCAGTGGTCCTCGTTTTCAACCTCGGCGACACCCCAAGAGTACTGACGGCCCTTGACAATCCGTCCGTCGTTGGTCTTGACATCCTTCTCGGAACCAATCACGGCGAAAGGCATAGCGGCCATAAGGCTCCGCGCGTGCTGAGCAGCAGCATCATCGTCCTCCTCGATCGGGGGCTGGTAGATCTTGATGTTCTGGGCCTCTATGACGGCAGCAATCTAGGTAGGTTAGTAGTGATGATACAATCGGTGTTTATGCCCAACATACGCGCTGCTTGAACTTGGCCAAGTCGGCAGGGCTGAGAGTATCGGCCTTGGCAATGACAGGGATCAGGTTCACGCGAGAGCAGAGTCTCTTCATGACCTCAATATCAAGAGGCTTGAGGGTGTGTCCGGTAGGGCGGATGAAGTAGAGGCAAGCGTGGACACGGAGATCGATCTTGTCCTGACGGCGGGGCTGCTGCTCCTGAAGCATGTACGACTCGTGCTGGTCGTCGAGGAACTCGATGATGGGCATCCAGGAGTCACGATTGTTAACGTAGTCTCCAAATCCGGGAGTGTCGATGACGGTCAGGCGGACTAAAGGGAGGATTGTTAGCGAGGGAAGCTGCCCGGCGGGATGTGGTCAGCACAAACCCTTGAAGAACTTCTCCTCGAGCTCAGCCTTGGTAATTTCAATCTCGACAGTCTTGTCGACCTGCTTCTGATGACGACGCTTGTGGTCTGCATAGTTTTTGATCGTGGTTGAGAACAGCGTGTTGATGAATGTCGTCTTTCCGAGGCCAGACTCTCCAGCAACCTAAATGGCGGCCTTGTTAGCGTGACAGGGTCAAACGACGATATGCCACCCTGACGGCAGAGGACATCACAGTGGCGAGCAGAGGAGTCTGCATACCATAATGGTGAAGCCGGCACCGCGCTTGGCGACAATCTTGTGACGCTGATTAGGCAGATTGGCAATGCCAATTGGCGATGCACTCTCGGAGCTGGCAGGAGCCATCTTGGGATATGATGAGGGGTGAGCTATTGCGAAGGAGGATAAACGAGAACGGAAAACAAATCGGGGTAATGACCAGACCAGAAGTTGTCAAGCGTTGAAGTACGAATCGAGATATCCGCCTAGCAAATGCTGAGAACGATTGATCAAGAAGTGCGTTTGGCAGGATGGCACAAAGGTGGAGGAGGTCGTAGCTTGAATGAATGGGCATTCAGGGGCACCAAGGGGGGTCGTGGCCACCAATTTTGCTGGTCTTGGATGCGCCCGGGGGGTCTGCGGGCAGCGCTGGTCAGTGCGATGGCGACGGGGCAGGCACTTTGCGGGACCCCTTTCCAAGCCAACGGACGATGGGTTGGACTGTGGCTGCAGAGACAGGATAATGGATGAAGCGGTCAGTGCACTCCACCGCCTCATAACTGGGACATTGGATGCTGTGGCTAGTGCCAACAGTGAGTGGCTGGAGCTGCAACGAGAATGGAACAACGAATGGCCGGCCCCTCCAAAAATTTCGACGGCCTATCGATAAGCGGCGCAGCTTGGAAAGTTTTAGACAAGCAATTGGAACTTTGCTAATAATGGACGACAAACGACAATGAAGACCGATTTCAGGGTAAGATACAGTTCAGCTTCTACGTGAGGTCAGAAGTTAGGTTAGAAGCAAGTATGCTGACTTGTATAGTTTTCAAATTTGCTAGGCACGGTGTACTGCCAGGGTAATCTGCTCTTCAGTCCCGATGGCACTCACCTCTTTTCGCCCGTCGGCAACAGAGTGACGGTCTTTAATTTGGTCGAGTATGTGCGCACAGAAGAGAGGGACTAGAAATGTGTGATTCTAACACATACCAGAAACAAGTCATATACCCTTCCCTTTGCGCATCGCAAAAACATAGCTCGCCTCGGACTCACACCTCGCGGCAACATCCTCCTCACAGTCGACGAAGACGGCCACGCTATTCTGACAAACGTCCCCCGAAGAATATCAATATACCACTTCTCCTTCAAGGCGAAAATAACCGCGCTCTCTTTTTCGCCCTCTGGACGCTACTTTGCCGTTGGTCTCGGCCGCAAGCTCGAGGTCTGGCACGTGCCTTCCACGCCCGACACCAACGCTGGCGGCGAGCTCGAGTTTGCGCCCTTTGTCAAGCACCACACGCATACCGGCCACTTTGACGACGTCCAGCACATTGAATGGTCCAGCGACTCACGATTCTTTCTCACGGCCTCCAAGGATCTCACGGCGCGGATATGGAGTGTCGGCGCAGAGGAGGGCTTCGTGCCGACGGTGCTCTCCGGGCACAAGCAACCCGTCATTGGCGCTTGGTTTTCGGCGAACCAAGAAATTATCTACACTGTCAGTAAAGACGGCGCCGTATTCGAGTGGCGATACGCAAAGCCGATTGACCGCGTCAAGGACGACGACGAGGATATGGAGGAGGACGACGATTCTGACATGCACTGGCGCATTGTGCAAAAACACTTTTTTATGCAGGGCAGCGCACACGTCCGTTGCGCTTCGTTTCACCCCGAGTCGAACTTGCTTGTCGCTGGCTTCTCAAACGGCCTCTTTGGCCTCTACGAGATGCCCGACTTTAACAATATTCACAAGCTAAGTATCTCACAAAACGACATTGACTTTGTCACCATCAATAAGAGCGGCGAGTGGCTTGCTTTTGGCGCTTCCAAGCTCGGCCAGCTTCTGGTCTGGGAATGGCAGTCTGAATCCTACATCCTCAAGCAACAAGGCCACTTTGACTCGATGAACTCGCTCGTCTACTCTCCCGACGGCACCAAAATCATCACCACCGCTGACGACGGCAAGATCAAAGTCTGGGACATTGAATCCGGTTTTTGCATCGTCACATTTACAGAGCATACATCTGGCGTAACAGCCTGCGAGTTTGCCAAAAAGGGCAACGTCCTCTTCACATCTAGTCTCGACGGTTCCGTCCGCGCATGGGATCTGATTCGCTACCGAAACTTCCGCACATTTACCGCGCCCACGCGCCTCTCCTTTTCCTGCATGGCCGTCGACCCCAGCGGCGAGGTCGTCGCCGCCGGCTCCCTCGACTCTTTTGACATTCACATCTGGTCCGTGCAGACCGGCCAGCTGCTGGACCAGCTCTCGGGCCACGAGGGCCCCGTGGCCTCGCTCGCCTTTACGCCCAACGGCGAGTCCCTCGTCTCCGGCAGCTGGGACCGCATCGCGCGCATCTGGTCCATCTTCAGCCGCACGCAGACCAGCGAGCCGCTGCAGCTGCAGGCCGACGTGCTCGACATCGCCGTCCGCCCCGACTCGCTGCAACTCGCCATCTCGACGCTCGACGGCCAGCTGACGTTTTGGAACATGGAGGCCGAGCAGGTCGCTGGCGTCGACGGGCGGCGCGACGCCTCGGGCGGCCGCAAGATCACGGACCGCCGCACCGCCGCCAACGTCGCCGGCACAAAAGCCTACAACTCGATCCGGTACAGCACAGACGGCAGCTGCCTTCTCGCCGGCGGCAACTCAAAGTACATTTGCCTCTACTCCGTCACGACCATGGTGCTTCTGAAGAAGTTCACCGTCAGCGTCAACCTCTCGCTCTCGGGCACGCAAGAGTTCCTCAACAGCAAGCTCCTCACCGAGGCAGGAACGGCCGCTGACATTGATGACGAGGAGACCTCGGACCGCGAGGCCGCCCGCGCCGCCGAAGGCCTGCCCGGCTCCAAGCGCGGCGGCGATCCCTCGGCCCGCAAGCGCTTCCCCGAGGTGCGCGTCAGCGGCATTGCCTTTTCGCCGGCGGGTACCTCGTTCTGCGCCGCCTCCACCGAGGGCCTGCTCGTCTACAGCCTGGACACGACGGTGCAGTTCGACCCGTTTGACCTCAACATTGAAATTACGCCGGCCTCGACGCTTGCGGTGCTCGAGACCGAGCGCGACTACCTCAAGGCGCTGGTCATGGCGTTCCGCCTCAACGAGGCGGCTCTCGTCAGGCGCGTCTTCCAGGCTGTGCCCCCCGGCGACGTTGGCCTCGCCGTGGCGGGCCTGCCCGTCGTCTACGTCCCGCGTCTGCTGCGCTTCGTCGCCGCCCAGACCGAGGAGTCGCCGCACATGGAGTTTTGCCTGCTCTGGATCAAGGCGCTCGTCGACAAGCATGGCGCGTGGCTGGCGGCCAACCGCGGCAAGGTCGACGTCGAGCTGCGCGTGGTGAACCGCGCCGTCAACCGCATGCGCGACGACATTAAGCGGCTGGCCGACGAAAACGTCTACATGGTCGACTATTTGCTGGGACAGGCCGGCACAAAGAGCACGGACAGAAAGGGGCTGACGGCGGGGGACGAGGGGAACGTTGCTGCGGGCATTGATGTGGACATGAATGGTGACAATGAGGAAGCGTCTAGCGAAGACGAAGACGAATGGATTGGACTAGAGTAAGGGGGAAAGATGGGCTGGCATAATCTCTCATTACGTTATATGTAGTTATCTTTTCGTTTTCCCATCATGAGAAGTCGTATTCATGGAGCAATCTTGGGGCGTTGTTGATACAAATACATAAAAAGTTGAATACCCACGGGCCTTGGTGTTGCGTGTCACAGTACGAATTTGCAAAACGCTAGCAAGGTCTTCAACGTGGCAATCAAAACCCGATGTCGAAGGTACAGTCCAGGCCCGCAGTTTACATCTTGGGAACGTCTTCCCAGGCGCCGTCGAAACCAGCCGAGCGGACCCAGCGCGGCTCCTTACCAGCGTCCATATCGGCGCCCTCGACGCTGTCCAGCAAGGCATAGTGCGCCTTGAGCCACGTCTCGTCGTCGGCGAGCCTGATCCACGCTGGCCGCTGCGCACGGTCGAGGTACGGCTTCGACGCCCGCTGCGCGAGCAAGAATGCGCGCGCCACCTTGATGGCGTGCCCGTCGTCGGCGACGGCGTGCAGCCGCGGCAGCAGCTCCTCCGGGCTGGCGACCATGGCCCGCGCCCTGCCGGTGCGGACATCATTGGGCACGTAGCGCCGCAGCGCGTCCACGTCGAGGCGCGGGCTGCCGCGGGACACAAAGGTCAGGACGCCGGTGCGCAGCTTCCACTCGAGCAGGCGGGCCTTGGCGGCCGCGGGGATCCAGTCCTGCGTCTTGAGCCAGAGAAACGCGGGGGTGAGGTTGTTGTGGTGGCTTAATACACACTTTGTTAGTAGTGAGGGAAGGAAAAGAAAGAGACAGCCTGGGGAGGAATATCATCAGGAAACTTGCATGATGAAAAAGTCAAACTTGGGCTTGTGAGGCGGGTGAAAAATGGACGCGGCCGCAACGTACGCCGACGCGTGGACCATGGCGTCAATCTGCTCGTCCAGGTTGTTGTCCGGGTCGACGCGCACATTGGCAGCGAGGTATTCGGCGACTTGGTCGGGAATGCGGTCCAGCACAGCGGTCCGGCTCCCGTCGCCGTCCTCGAACTTGGGCTCGGCCACGAGCTGCGGGTGCTCGTCGCCAATGGTCTCGAGCAGCTTGGCGAGGTGCCGTGGCGGTTGCTGCGGCGCGGGCGGGTTTCGCCGGGCCTTTTCGTCGACGGCGGCAAAGAGCACGCCAAAGTTGTCGCGGTGGATGCTGGTCTGCGCGAGGCCCTCGGCGACAAGAGCGGGCTGCGCCCATTCCAGGCCGTACATGAGTTGGAGGTATGGATGGAGAAGGCCTGTTGTGTGTCTGTGTTTTAGCAAGACTACTACGCGTGAAGAAGACGAAAAAAGGAAAAGAAGAGAGGGAAAAGAGGGCTTACCAGAAAAGAGGCGAGTAAAATTTTGCTCATTGTTAATGAGATACTTGAGGACGGTTTCTTGCCAGCCAAGTTTCTCAATCTCTTCTTGGTAAAAGCGGAGGAAATTGCCATAATATCGGCCCCGGCCAAAGAACTCCTTTGCGGCCTCGTCAAAGTTGTCATGCAGGGCACTTTGCACCTCTTCTCCCTGCTCATTTCGCTTCAGCTGATAGGATTTATTGTTATCGTAGCCGCGCTGGATGTCCTCAGGCGTGGCACCGGTGCCATACAGCGTCAGGAGCTGGTGGACAAGCTGGATGGCCGCGTTAGCACATGTTTTGCCAGAACAAGATGCACAGAAATTTGCTTACATGGTTGTGATAACCCTTTTCGTTAAAAAAGACATTGTGCTTCTAAATTCGACATTGTTAGCGGGCTCTGCTCGGTTCTCCTTCTCAGCGACTCGAAGCGCGCACCTCCATGTCTTCCTGCAGCAGCGCGCTGACCTTGGCCGCCGCCTCGGGCGTCTGCGTCATGCCAAGCAGGCCCGTCTCGTCGGCGCGGACCAGGATGCGCGTCGGGGACGCCATGGTGAGGAGCCGCCTGCACGTTGTTGCTGCGAGTACCGGAGATGTGCGGGACACTTTGCGATTCAGTGTGGGCGGGAAGAGGCGAAGCGATTCTACAGATCTCGCCCACAGCAGCGGGATACGCATGGGGAGCATGTAATAGTTTATATAGATACGCTGATGCGCCACCCGGAAATCTTTACATCTAATGCAGCTGTACAAGCTTCGGACGGGAGCTTCGGAGGCCTAGGAGGACAAACGCGGGGAAGCAGAGCAGCGTCGGTGAAAAGCGTGGCCGATTGACCGCATAGAACAGAGTGATGAAGGATATGACGGTGCGATTGGAGTGACTTGAGAGCTAACAGACATCATTCTCTCGTCGTTCGGACTGGAGCCATCTCCGAGCTGGTGGCAGAGCAAACAGAGCTACTGACAAAGGCAGTTTGGCGATGCGGAGCCCGATGACGCCAGAATTAGCAAACCGGCGACGCGGATTGGCTCACGGCTCAACACCTGGCGTTGTGCGGATAGAGTATTGCAGCTGCGTTTTTCAATTATACCCATCTATATTATACAACCTTTTGTTTGACCAGCATCGGACGCGCTGCTTCGAATTCGCGTCATCATGGTATGTCGGGGGGTCAAACGGCGGAAACAAACAGCGGCGGCTCGGGAATCGGCATCATGCCGTCATCAAGGAGATGGTTTCATCGATCCCAGGGCAAGGATACCCTGCTAGAACAAGATGACACAGATTGAGCCCGATGTGTTTTAAACAATGGCGACCCAGCTTTTCGTATCCGTTGTGTCTTCTATCCTTCTTCGTTCATGCGGAATGCTGGAGACAAGATGTGGTTTATTATTAGTAATGACGGGCGTCACAACTTGGTCGGAGACCGACAAGGACGGGGAGCAAGCGGCCGAGTCCCGACTCATCAGATACCAGCGGTCGAACTTGATTACGAATCGATCAGATTACACGACGAGTCTGGTCTACCCAACACAGACCAAAGCCGCAATGTCTTCTGAAGCCATTCTTTACGACTGCCAAATACTGCAATTATTGGCCGGGAACAATACACAAGCTGCTGGCCAGCCCTATGTGTGCCTCAGGTACCGCGATAGGTGATGATCATAAATAGCTGGGCTGTGTATGGCTCCCGCCTGCCCAAGACATGTGTGGCTGGCCGGGACCCGGCTTCTTGTCGAGCTTCGCTGCCTCGGTCAAACGATTCATGGCATCGGCAATTCTTCAAACCAAGTCTCTTCTTTTTCTTTTTTTACTTTCCTCCTATACGCGCGTACTTGGTAGTCAATGCATCTAGCTCCTCTCTCCAAACCGGGACCCCCTTTGTTGCGGCAAGATTTACAAAGACGCAGGCTCGAAGGTTACGGACACAGCTCTTTGTACCGAGGTAACCGGCTGTCAGACAATGGCGATCGTTCTTGGTTGCCCTTACTATTTACCCCCCCTTCACAAAACAGATCTTTACGGGGCCTTTTTCTCCATCAAAGCGTCGGACGGTGCGGAGTGAGTGAGGGCTATGCCCGCCGCTCAGAAGCACGAGCCTTCAGCTTCTGCCTTTTCTTTTTCTCCAGGAAATAGTAGCGTCAAGCGAACAAATTCATGCCAGCCAGACATAGCAGCAACAGAATACAAAGCCGTCCGTTCCCCCCTCTAGTTTCCCCTCGTGACGGCCTCGGGGAGTCTTAGCCCCAGCGCCATGTGGGCTGCCAGGAAACCTTGTCCATGTGCAACTCGCAGGCCAGGCTGTAAGCAAGGCTTGCAGCCCTCCTTTTCAGCCGCCAAATCACCCCCCAAACATCAAGGCCATTTATGCGGGGTATTACGGCATACCTGACCCAAAGGAAGTTTTAGTGCCGTATTAAAACGCGGGGCCGATAAGCTGTTCCTAGGTACGAGCACACATGGCTCCGGGAGGAAAATAGGCGAGACGGACGGGGGGGTAATTACGTGCCTAATAACCCACGCTTGCATAAACGTGGAAAAGGGGGCTTAGCTATTTCAAGGGGATATTTGGTGGCGTGCCTAATTTTGTCGTAGAGACTGTGCAGAAAGCCACATGTGACGCGGGACAGGACAGAGGAACCTAAAGATATTAAGCTCAGCCAACGCCAGCCCTTTTCGTTGGCTTTCTTTTTTTTTTTAGCATTTTTTATCTTCTTATCCCATTCTTTCTGTCTCTTCAGCTTGAGGTTGACTTGCTTCTTTGACGAGTGATTGCGATATAGACTTGGTAAACAAACCTGCGCATCCTGGTCTAGACTAGATCCTTTTTGCAACTGGCTCACGCAGCCAACAACCCACAACTCCCCCCCCGTCCCCTTCTCTTCAACCCCCCTCTCTCACCCAGCACGATAACGGTCACCATGTCGCAAAACGGCCACCAGATCGCGCCAGGCCACCTCGGCAACCTGACCGACGAGCAGGAGGCGAAGCTGCGGCAGCTCTGGTCTTTTGGCTTCCAGGTCCTCGAACTGTACGAGACCGAGTCGCGCATCTACGAGGAGAAGAAAGCCCGTGGCGAAGCCGTCGACCCGCCCAAGCCCGCCGCCGCCGCCTCCTCTGGTGGCGGCTGGGGCTTATTCGGCAAGAAAAAGGGACCGACGGAGCTCACGCACCCCAAGTTCCCCAACTCGGTCAAGGAGCTGCAGAAGCTGGTGCCGGCCGACGAGCCGGACCGCGACGAGCTCGTCAAGCTGGCCATTGAGGCGCTCGACGTCTACACGCCCGAGACGGCGCGCTCCATCCTCATCGAGGCCGTCAAGCACGAGCACCCGGACACGCTGGCGCTGCGGTTTCTGCGCGCGCGCAAGTGGAACGTGCTGCGCGCCGTCCTCATGCTCGCCAAGTCGGTGCGCTGGCGCGTCGAGGACATGAAGGTCGACCGCGTGCTCATGCGCCAGGGCGAGGGCCACATGTTTGAGCAGGAGCTGCACGGCGCCGCGGGGTCCCGCGACAAGACGTTTGGCAAGGACTTTCTCAACCAGATGCGCTGGGCAAAGGGCTTTTTGCACGGCACGGACCGCGACGGCCGCCCCGTCAACTACATTCGCGCCGCGCGCCACCGCGCGTCCGACCAGAGCGTCGAGAGCCTGGAAAAGTTTACCGTATACTGCATCGAGCTGGCGAGGCTGTCGCTGCAGGCGCCCGTGGAGATGGGAGTAAGTGGTTGCTTGCTTGCTGCTGCTCGGAGACGAGTGGCCACCCCCCCGGACAACGAGATTGAGGCTGACCTTGCAACAATTTCTAGACCATTGTGTTTGACCTAACAGGCTTTTCGCTGTCCAACATGGACTATGTCCCCGTTAAATTCCTGGTTCAGTGCTTCGAGGCCAACTATCCCGAGTCTCTCGGCTGCATCCTCATCCACAACGCACCATGGGGATTCGGCGGTACGTCCCAGCACTATCCCCCCCCCCTTCACCTCATCTACCGTATGTACTAATACCTTCAACCCCCATTTCCTAGGCGTCTACCGCATCATTGAGCGCTGGCTTGATCCCGTCGTCGCCTCCAAAGTGCACTTTACCAACGGCGCCAAAGAAATCGCCGAGTACATTGCACCCGAGCAGCTCGTCAGCGACCTCGGCGGCACCAACCCCTGGGAGTACGAGTACGTGCCGCCCGTCGACGGCGAAAACGACCGCATGGACGACACGGCCACGCGCGACGCCCTGCTGGCCCGCCGCAAGGAGCTCGCCGCCGCGTTCGAGGACCGCACGCGCGAGTGGGCGCGCGTCGCCGCCGCCAGCGGCGCCAAGGCCCCCGAGACGGCCAAGGTCAGCGCCGAGCGCGACGCCATTGCCGAGCAGCTCGCCGCCAACTTTTGGGAGCTGGACCCGTACCTGCGCGCGCGCTCGCTGTACGATCGTCTCGGCGTCTTTCAGGGCAACGGCAAGGTCGACTGGTCAGCCGCCAAGAAGACTCAGGATCAGCTCAAGGCCAAGGCGGGGGAAACCAAGTAGACAAAAAAAAAATAGAAAGAGACGTTTTTTTTGTTAGCAAAGGGAGGGGTACGGGTTGGTACAATGAACATGATATAGTAAAGCCATCTAAATGCAAAAGAATAAAGTTTTTTTTTTTTTTTTTGTCAAGTCGCAGTAAGCACATTTGTTTAATCAGCTACTCTGAATAGTAAATCGTAGGTGCATTCTTCCTTTGTATGCTGGACTGCCGTGTCCCGGCATCTTCTATCTGTGTTTGGACCGTGTGTCCTAGCACACGGGTATCTGACCAAAGCAAAAAACGGGGACATCATTCTAAACCAACATCATTACATTTTTGCGTCGCAAATACTTTTTCGGGCGGGGGGGTATTTCATGGCAAATCATGGCAAAGCATTGCAGACCACTTAGGCCTTGCGCTTCTTGGAGGCGTGGTCGTCGGCATCGGCGTCGCCCATCTCCTCGTCAGACTCCTCAAAGTCAATGTCGGAGAGGGCATCGTGCTCCATGGCAGTGACTAAAAGATCTATCCGTTAGCATGAGTTTTCATCTCCCCTCCCATCGTTTCTTTTGTCTGTTGCAAAAGATTTCATCCAAAAAAAAAAAAAAAGAAAAAAAAACTCACTAAAGTACTTGATGGCGTTGGGCCAGACATCCTCGGCGATGCAGACGGCAACATCGTCAGCCGTGGGAAAGATTTCCGTCTCGTACTCGTCGAGGTCATCGTCCTCGTCCTCGTCCTCCTCCTCGGGGACCTCCTCGCCATTCTTGCGCTTCTGGCGCTTGGCCTGCTCCTCCTTGGCCGCCTCCTTGGACTCCTCCGCCGAGACGTTGCGGCCGCAGAAGCCGAACCAGGCGAAAAAGGACACGGCGTCGATCCCGGCATCATCCATCTTGGCGAGCAGCGCCTTTTTGGGCTCCGCGTCGTCGCCGAGCTTCTTGCCGCCGGCGGCCTGCTCGGCGGCGCGCAGCTGGCAGACGAGGTCGAGCATGCCCTGCGTCAGGTCCTTGTCCTTGCTCTTCCAGTGGATGCGGACGGGCTCCGAGACGAGGCCGGCCCAGCCGTCCCGGGCGTAGCGCCACCAAAACTTTTTCTCAATCGTCTTGTCGGAAAAGTACTCATTGTCGGAAAAGGTGAACTTGATGGCGATGCTGCGCGGGTCGCCGCCCGAGGCCAGCTCGAAGCGCTCGACCGAGAGGTCGACGAGCGAGTTGAGGAGCACGGCCGAGTCGGTGGGCTGAATGTACTCGTCAATCTCGGACGGCGACTGCTCGAGGACGAGGGGCCAAAAGTTGGGAATGTCGGCAATGACCTTGGCGCGCTTCACGTAGAGGTCGGCGGTGAGCTTGGCCTGCTGGCGGACTGTGTGCGCGTTGGTCAGTGGTAACTCTTTTTCCGCGGGGGGAGGGGGATTTGTCTTTTTTTTTCGCTTCTTGTAACGTACGGAGCTCAACCTCGACATCCTCAAAGTCATCCTCGAGCTCCTGGAGCTTGCTGAAGGAGACGGGGTTCTCAATCTTGTCGTCAGACATGTTGTAGAGATATTTTGATTCGTGTATGCAAAAAAAAAAAAAAACGTTTTGAGGAGCAAGATGTAAAAGATTGAGCTGAGAGGGGCACGTCTGGTATCCTTTTATTACTTTTTCAAAAACCACAAGCCTAATCGCAAAACAAAAAATTTTCCATCGGGACCTTGGCTCACTCCTCTTTCTGACATAAACAACAGTGGATATCAACGCCTCTGGTTGGCGGGCCGAGCTACTTCAGATTTCCCAAACATTGCAAGTCGGTGAAGATGAATTTTAATTTGCTCCGTTCAAGCTGCCTTTTCCCCGTCTAATTGCAGGCAACCTAGCTTGTTAGCTTGGAGACGGGTGGGGCTGAAGGAGGGGCGTGGCTGATGTCATTGGTGGGTAGCCGAAGCCTCGTGGGATATTAAAGAGGCTAGACTATGTTGGACGATTTTTCTAGTTTTAAGGGTCTCGGGCGTCGAGGACACAACAGCCTCCAGTACAGCAAGAATGAATATCATTACGTCGCCGTCTTATCCGAGCGGGGTTGCTGTCCGTTGATTCGGGTAGGTATACAACTATTTCGTAGACGGACACATACGTCGTTCCTACAGAAGCACTTGTCTCTGCAACCTTCCTAGCTATACCTAATTTACCTAATTCGCCCTAGACCCCGCCTGTCTAGCTCTATCTATATAAACAGAAATAAAGAAGTATAGTACTGGGAAATAAAATTATTTTTCATGTTTAATATTATTTACTGACTGTTCGTAAACTTGGCTTGAAATTGCTCAAGATGGCTGCTACGACACTATAATCGATCGACCGGCAGAGTAGAGTAGAAAAAAAGTAGCAACTTTGGTTAAAGTGATTGTTCACAAGATCAGAGTCTCCATAAAAGAAGCTCTCGCCAAAGGCCATTTACGAAAAATCAAGATGGGGCATTCCATTAGACGCGGTTCCCCAACACATTCTTCATTCGACTCAGTTGAAAGTCGCTTAGCTTGCTGGTTGGAGAATGATAGCGTGGACACAAATTCCCCCATATCAGGTTGCCGCTTATCATGTACTGCATAGCCTCGATCAAGCGACGGGAGTCAAGTGACAAATCCTGTCCAACTTTGATCTTCTCTAGAGTCATGACATACTGTGCAACAAAGTCTTTCACTTTTTGACGAATTCTGAGCTTTGCTTCTTCAATGTCAATCGAGTGTTGTTGCATCAATACCCAAATACCATTCGTCATGATCATCATATCAGACTTGTCTTGCATTTGGGCAATTTTGTACTCTTTGGCCCAAGACTGAAGATCATTTGTAAGAATTGAGGCTGCCCAAACCGGCCGAGTCAATTCAAAGCATGTTTGTTCTTCTTCTTTAGGAATCGTAAGCTGCATGCCAAAGATAGACAGCGCAAGCAGAAAACTATATTCTAGTCAGGAATTGCCAGTTTATTGTTGAGAAACTGAACAATACTCACTCGGAACCGGAGTCCTGCACAACTCTATATTCGAGGAAATCATCAAAGTCTTTAAATTTGATGCCATTTTTCGGCACTCTCAAGTCTCTTTTCAAGTATTTCATCACATCTGATGTCCTTACAGGGTCGATAGACATGATCTCCTTGGCGAAGTTGGCTAAAATTTGCCCCTTCCCAGGTTTATGATCCTTGACCATGGCTTTATCAATCACTTCATTGCGGCGGTATACCATCTCGCTAGTTAGAGCAAAATCCTGGCATATGTTAGAATTTTTTTTTAAAGTAGGGTGCATCATATATACCTCAGGTACCTCGGTCGTGTCCAGCGCATCGTCGTTCAGAAAAGCTAACTCTACCATGTAAGAGACGAGTTCTAGCCGTTCTGGCCGGCATTCTGGCATCGTCACGGCAGTAAAGCTGTATATAGGACCTATGCTGCCGCCCATATTAGTTGGTAGCGGTCCAACAAATTTTCTCCAGTCATTGTGCAGTCGAATAGCGCCCATTTCTTCCAAGTCCTGGTTCCGGTGAACTCGAAGGGGTATCCCATCACTGAGTCCTTCACTGTCGTAGGAAGAGGAGTCGATCAGATGCGAGTAATGATACTCCATGTTGAAAATGAAATACAAGATTGCCAGCAAAAGGACAAATGAGCTGATGATGAAAGGCTCGCGGGATGCGTGCCAGATTTCGCGAACTGGCTATCTAATAAATACTCTGTCAGCGGCTGAGACCTGCGGGCGGCTGAGAATCTCTACCTCCACCTTCTGCAAGCCGCTTCCTCTTGACGCTACGTTATATTCATAAGGCGCGGTGCATAAAAAGTAGAGCTGAATCTCTTGAAAGCAGTCTTGAGACATCTTCAGGACGTGATTGGATCCCGCGCGCTACGTACATACCTCACCGACTATTAGTTCGGGTAAAGACCAATCCAGATCAGCGGAACTCTGAAACAAACCTAAGCTATATATATATTATAGTTACGTGACCAATGTGCTACGTCTAGCTGAAAGAAATGGCTTGCATGGCCATTGATTGAGGTTTGCGTGGCCTTCGTAGAACTCCACCGAAACCAAGCATTTTGTGGACAAAGTCCTTCTTCCCATTTGGCCCACTTGAAAAACTTTTGAAATTCATACCTCTTTAATTGCCGGGCTTGAGAAATTGTGCAAGACGAGTTGGAAGGGTTGCTTCGATGAACATGTCCCACCCAGCTTGCGTACACCGGCTGATGGAAGCGCACCGGGAAAGAGCTGTGAATGAGATTGTTCATTATATTCCACAATTATAATCGTTTAGTCCAGAAACGGTCCCGAATGGCATGATCCTGCAAGACGAAAGCTCGCGCTTACTGACGCGACTGATTTAGCGCGATTGTAACGATCACTGTACCGTCATGCCAACTGGCGAAAGACTAGGCATTGATCTCAGTACGACCAATAACCACGATCCCAACTATGATTCATATAGCTGTTCGTTATAGCAATAATATCCATTCACCGGCGTTTACCATAGCTAGGATCCGGCTTCATATTTGGCAGAGCATACTAATACAGGCTAATATCGAAGCGTGGACTCCATTGAAAGATATATTTAAAATAGCGCGTATCTCGTTAGCCACATTACAGCCACGCAGCCGCCACAGTTGGCTGACCATGCAAAGTAGGTGGTCGATGATTGGCTGCTTTAGTATCACGTGCCAGACACACTGTCATTCCCGCCGCAGCCTGGGGCGTTGCCAGGGCACCTTGCTGCTTGGCTCCCACCTGAAAAGTGAGAGAGAAAAAAAAATGAGCGAAGATGGCTCCGAGTGGAACAAATAACATCTTACGTGTGAATTCTTGTTCATTTGGTGCGGCCTCGTGTCTAAATTAATATCACCAGAAACACCTGTTGCGGCCTCTGTTGCAGATGCGTTTGGCAAACTGGGAGAAGCCCCTCTGCAATAAAGTGCTAACTACAAGTAGCCGCCAGAGGGAGCGCCCACCAGCACCAGCAGAGAGCACCCAGCCCCAGAAGAGAGCACCCAGCCCCAGAGAGAGCGCCCAGCCCCGGCCTTTGTCGCATTCGTAAGCCCACCATTGCAGCGCCTCGCTGGGATCTCCACCTGGAAGGGGTCATTGCCGTCGTCACGAAACGCAAACTTGCACTGGACAACTCTCTTCTCTCATTGCAAGAACAAGACGCATCTACAGCCACGGCATCCCGAGCGACCTCGTCTACGATTACAATACGCATTGCTGATACCCTTTGATTCGAGTACTTGAATTTCGACGCCGCCATCATGTCTTCGCAGGAGCCCCCTTATGATCCCTATATCCCCAGCGGCCAGACCGGCACGCAGCAAGCCGGCGGTGCCGGTGGCAACGCCAGAACCCAGGCTCTGCAAGCTGTAAGTAGCTGAGTCGAGAAGGTGTCTCATTCTCTTGGCTCTACGAGCGACCGACTTTTTTTTCCCGCCTCCTATGAGCGCCTTGGAGCGTGGCGCCAACAAGCTGGTGAATGCGGCAGCAGAGGTGAAACCGTGGTCAAAGCAACCCAACTCGGCGGCCATGAAAAAGGGCATCGACACGCTCCCGACCAAGAGGCATTGCAGCGAACGAATGCGCATCTTTCTTCATGCCGTTATTCTCTATCAAAGCCGTTGGCATGCAAAAGCTAGCAACATGACCGATTGCGTTACCCTTGGCTAGGCATGGGGCTATGCGTAGTCATCGGCTTCACCACCAAACCTCTACGCCAAGCCAGTAGCGACACCCTCTGAGACCGCCAAAAGGACGGAGAAAAAAGTCGGCGCAGTGTCAACTGATGGAAAGATGCGCAATGCGATTTCGTGATCAATGCTAACCATGGCGGCAGCAAATCGACGACACGGTCGGTGTCATGCGCGACAATATCAATAAGGTTTCGCAGCGTGGTGAGCGTCTGGACGCCCTCCAGGACAAGACGGACAACCTTGCCGTTTCGGCGCAGGGCTTCCGTCGTGGAGCCAACCGCGTACGCAAGCAGATGTGGTGGAAGGACATGAAGATGCGCATGTGCATCATCATTGGTGTAATTGTTCTTCTGGCCATTATCATCATTCCCAGTAAGTTGTCCCCTTGTCATTTGCCGGCCTGCGCCGTTGCTTACATCAAAGCAGTTGCCGTTAAAACGACTGGCCACTAAGCTTGAAGAAGCTTGGAGGTAAAACGAAACGACCGGGGAAGTGCGTGCTTTTGATCTTGACGTTTTGACAATGAGCGGCGTGCTGGCACCGGGCAGTCTTAAGAAGAGACTGGCGGGGAGGAGCCGGAGCATGCTGCCCAACTGGGTACTCTTTTTCTGTTTTCGAGCATTGTGGATTTAATTGGCCACCAAGCTGAGTTGTTTGTTGGCGGCGCGGCTATGCGTCTGGACATGCTGCGAGGATGGACCAGGGCTAGTCAGAGCCGCATGTATGACTGGAGACTGGGCGTTTCCGCATTAATCGAGCTTTAAGTATTCACAACTAGGGCAAGAATGCTTTGGATTTTTTTTTTCCCCTCGCGCGGGACCATTTTATACCAGTGACTGCAGCCGTCTGCTATTGGCCTATTACGAGATATAGAGGCTGAAGAGAATGCAGCCAAGCCGGACAATGTCGGCAAGGTAGAGTCTAGAATGCAAGGTGCTTCTCCACGTGTGCTTAAAACCCAAGTCTTTTCAGCGGGACCTGAGAGGAGCAGAGGAAAAGTGCCGGACCAGGGTGAGAAAAAAGTATGTAGATTATTGGTTTATCAATCAGTACTTTGGTAGAAACCGACGCTGTGCAGAGGGGGGCGGGTCCACCATGACGGGCATGAGCTGACGAGAAAGGGCGGTTCCGCAGGCAAACCAGCTTTCTTATCTGATCTTTTTTTCCCCTGCTGTATCCGTAAACTTTTTTGACTTGTTCCTGCTCGGTGGAGAAATTGTGGAAACTAGTTCTCCCAGGCACGCACGATGTGGGCAAACGGAATAAAGGCGAAGGCTGCGCAATATAGTTGCGAGCACGCAAATTCCGAGCAACCATAGGCAGAAGTAGTCGGAAGCCGAGGAGGGTCAGGGGAGGAACGAGGGAAAATTTCTGAAGAAAAAAAAGGGGGAATGGGAGGTTGACCCTAAAGAGAGGGGGGGGGGGGTCGAAGAGGGAAAGCGAGAGAGCCCGGTTTGGTGTCGGGTGGTGAGTGAGGCATATTCGAACTGCGTGGTGAATATGAGGAGTGCCATGTTGGGGATGGTGTCGTTTATCTATTAATGCGTGAATTTTTGAGGGCTGGAGTTGGCAGTGCAGTGAAAGGGGTCTTTTGTTACAAAAGACATTGTCAATGTCGTATCCATGGTAATAGGGTGACGCGTTACGTAGGCGGCCGAATGCCGCGACAAGTAGTTGAAGTAGAAGAACATTTTGGCAAGGCGTCTAAATAGTAGCCTTGCACCGGAGCGAGGTACGGAGTACACAGGCAGTATCTAGGTACCTAGCTAAGGTAGATATCTAGGTAGTGCTGGGAATGGAGGGGACGGGAAGCCGGGTGATGGCACGAACGGCGGCTGATTTTGTGTCATGTATATTCGGTTTTTTTTATTAAAAAAAATTGATTCATCTCCATTTTCATACATGAAGTTTTGGAGCGGCATATTTTGGCAGTTTTATCAGCTGCAATAGTAAAAAAGAAGGAGGGGCTGGCTGGACGGCATGAGCCTCGGCGATCATTTTGAAATGGAGCCCATGGCCCAAGTGGCAGGTTAGGTTGTTTTGTCGTAGATTTGGCACATGACTATGAGTTGAGCGGTATTCGCTCAGATGGGCTGTTGTGTTTTGGTAAAATGCAACCGTGGCCGTGAACTTGCTGAGAGTCTTTTTTTTTTCTCAAAGGGTCCCGGCTAAGAAGGCACAGGATCGGGTGCAAGGTGGTATGCCGACTGATCCTATTTGAAGAGCTCTGTGCACCCGCCGAGATGGAACGCGCCTCGACCTGCTAAGGTACTTTGCGTGCGCCTTGGGCAAACGAGACCGATGGGCGCCAGCCAGATAGATGCCAGCCAGACAAGGGCAACTTTTGTCAAATATCAACAGGTTGGGTTGGGTTGGAAACTCTGACGCGGACAATGATAACCCTGACGCCTCACCGCCTTGGCTAGCAGGCTGGCAGGTAGGCAGGCGTAAGCGGCAGCCTTGGTTCCTGTATCCGTAGCTATTTATCATGTCAAGCATGTTTTATTAGTTCTGCAAAAACTTGCCCAATACTTGTCCTATACGTATACTACTGTACTCCGTAAATACTTTGTGTGGGTACGCACGCTTGGAGCGATTTCGGGGCCGGTTCTGCCTTTCCTCCCACGCCCCCACCCTGCCCATTCCCAATGTGACTGACTCGCACCCGCACCGCTGACAGGAACTTCAACCTAGAAAAAGAGCCCCCGATTGCTTTCTTCGACCCTTCACACGTCTGGCTTCTTCTTTCTCTGCTCGTCCAGTCATTCAATTGACCTGCTGTCTTGGGGCTACGCAAACCTACTTAGCCTCGACCTCTTCCCGCCACAATCTTCCTCTTTTCCTCTCTCTCTCTCTAGCGCTTATCAGCTCCGGTTTGTCGGCCTTATCTCTAGGTACTTGTCTCTACACCAGCTCTTCTCGATAAATACACCACACCGTTTTTTTTTCCCTCTTACGTCTGACTACGACATTCGACTCCCGCCTTTCTTCACGTCGTCCAATTCTAAATCGGGGGCTCGAAAAAAAGCATACATTGAGGGGAAACGTAGAAATACATAATCGAACATGCTTTCCGTCACCTCTGTAGCCTTGCGTGCTGGCGCCAGGCGCGCCGGTCCTCGGGCCGCTGCTGCTGCTTCGACCACGATTCGATGCCCCAACCTCACCACCTACCGCGCCCTCTCCCAGTCCCGCGCCGCCGCCGCGCCCCCTACCCGCGACCGAACCCGCGAGATTGTCGCCCAGACCGTCTCCAGCATCGGCTCCAAGCGCGAGGGCCAGCAGTACCTCAAGCTCTTCACTTCGGTCTCTTCCCAAAAGTTTGCCGTCATCAAGGTCGGCGGCGCTATCCTGACCGATTACCTCGACGAGCTCTGCCGCTCCATGCTCTTCCTGTACGAGCTCGGCCTCTACCCCGTCATTGTCCACGGCGCCGGCCCCCAGCTCAACCGGCTGCTCGAGGAGGCCGGCGTCGAGCCCCAGTTTGAAGAGGGTATTCGTGTCACCGACTCAAAGACTCTCGGCGTCGCCCGCAAGCTCTTTCTCGAGGAGAACCTCAAGCTCATTAACCGTCTCGACGAGCTCGGCGTCGCTACCCGCTCCATCTCGGGCGTCTTCATGGCCGACTACCTCGACAAGGAAAAGTGGCAGTACGTCGGCAAGATTACAAGAATCAACAAGGACGCCATCGAAAAGTCGATTGAAGCGGGCTACATCCCAGTCCTGACTTCCATGGCCGAGTCCGACGACGGCCGTCTGCTCAATGTCAATGCCGATGTCGCTGCTGCTGAGCTTGCCCGCGCTCTTGAGCCTCTCAAGGTAGTCTACCTCTCTGAGAAGGGCGGCTTGTTCGACGGTGAGGGCGATAAGATTTCCCACATCAATCTCGACGAGGAGTTTGACCAGCTCATGGCCCAGCCTTGGTGCCGCTACGGCACTCGTCTCAAAATCAAAGAGATCAAGGACCTGCTCGACACCCTCCCCCGCACCTCCAGTGTTGCCATTATTCATCCCAGCGACCTGCAAAAAGAGCTCTTTACCGACTCCGGTGCTGGAACCATGATTCGTCGCGGCGACAAGATTCAAAAAGCCAATTCCGTTTCCGAGTTTGAGGACATTGATAAAATCAAGGCCACTCTCATCCGGGACCGCGAAGGCCTCGACTCCGAAGCCACCGTCGACCGCTTTGTCGACTTTCTCAGAGAAAACCCTTTCAAGGCATACTTTGACGATGCCCTGCAGTGCCTGGCCATTGTCGTCCCCGCTGGCGAGGGCCGCACCCTGCCCACCCTGGCCACGCTCAACATTACCAAGTCGGGCTGGCTGACTAACGTCGCCGAGAACGTCTTTGCCGCCGTCAAGAAGGACCACCCGCAACTCGTCTGGACCGTCAATGAAAACGACGAGAACCTTACCTGGTTCTTTGAAAAGGCCGACGGCAGCTTTAGCCATAATGGCAGCGTACTCTTTTACTATGGCTGCGACCTCCGCTCCCCCGCCCTCTCCCCCGTCTACGATGAGTTTGTCTCCCACGGCCGCGCCATGCTCGGCGACACCAACCTCGAGTCTCGTCTACGCCGCGCCGCTCAGACAGCCAGCGACAATCTGAACCGCTCCCATGTCGCCCAGCAGGCCCGCGGCTTCTCCACCTCTCGCGTTATCGGACCCAGGACGCCCAGCATGTCGCCCATGCAGCAGCAGCGCCGTGGCTACACGACCAACACTAACCCTAATCCCCCTCTGGGCAAGAAGAACGCCACTAACTCTGTTCCGGCGCGCGTGGCCCTCATTGGTGCCCGCGGCTACACCGGCCAGGCTCTCATCGATCTCCTCAACGCCCACCCCAACATGGACCTGCGTCACGTCTCCTCCCGCGAACTGGCTGGCCAGGAGCTGCAAGGCTACGAGAAGCGTAAGATTATCTACGAGAACCTCTCCGCCGAGGACTGCAGCAAGCTGGAGAAGGAGGGCAAGATTGACTGCTGGGTCATGGCCCTCCCCAACGGTGTCTGCAAGCCCTTTGTAGACGCTATCGACGCTGCCAGCAACGGCAGATCAGCCCAAGACAAGAGCGTTATTGTCGACCTGTCGGCCGACTACCGATTTGATAACAAGTGGACGTATGGTCTGCCGGAGCTGGTGCGCCGTTCGGAGATTTCGCAGTCCAAGCGCATTGCCAACCCCGGCTGCTACGCCACGGCGGGCCAGGTTGGCATCTCGCCTATTCTGGAGCACTTGGGCGGGCAACCTACCCTTTTTGGTGTCTCTGGCTACTCGGGCGCCGGCACCAAGCCGAGTCCCAAGAACGACATTAACGAGCTCCGCGACAACTTGATGCCGTACAGCCTGACGGGCCACGTACATGAGCGCGAGATGAGCAGACAGCTGGGCAGCCCAGTGTCCTTTATCCCGCACGTTGCCTCATGGTTCCGCGGCATTCACCACACCATCAATATACCCCTCAACAAGACGATGACGTCGCGCGACATTCGACAGATTTACCAGGACCGATATGCTGGTGAGAAGCTGATCAAGGTGGTGGGCGAGGCGCCGTTGGTGCGCAGCATCATGAACAAGCACGGCGTGGAAGTCGGCGGCTTTGCCGTGGATAACACTGGCAAGCGCGTGGTTGTGTGCGCGAGCATTGACAATCTCCTCAAGGGTGCTGCCACCCAATGTTTGCGTAAGTTTTTTTTTTTTTTTTGCGTCTTCTCCGTTGCGTTGTAGAGAAAATGCAAGCTAACTCTCTGTATAGAAAACATGAACCTGGCTCTGGGCTATGCCGAGTTTGAAGGCATCCCTACCATGTAGATGACATGGGACTTAGGAATGAAAGAGAGAGAGAGAGAGAGAGAGAGAGAGAGAGAAAATATTATAGAGAAGAAGAGAACCCTGGGCGAGTTATTGCATCGCATGCTGTGGCTTGGAGCGTGGGGAGAGTATAGTAAGAGACGCGTGTTTATTTTGGGCTATTTCATTTTCACATTTCTTGCATGTTTGGGCTTTGGGGTTTATATCGTACAAGTTTAAAAAACTTGTAGACAAGAAAAATTTCAAACGAATTTCTTCATTAGACTAATCCATTGTCTGGTGTGCTTGGTGACTTGAACGTGCTCTGATGGCAACGCTACGGAATGGGTGTGGCTCATTAATATCTACGACAATTCCATCCGTCGATGGCCGCAAATGACCATCTGTGGGCTTTGAGTAAGGATAACTTTGATTGGAACCATTATAGAAATTATTTGCCTTTACATATTTAACTGACTTGCTCTTTTGTTGCCCAATCGAGGCAAAGTCACATGTTATCACACGTGACCTGTACGCCATGACGGTTTCAGCGCCCAAGCCGGGTTTCGGTTCAGGCCCTGCGGCTGGGCTTTTATTACCAAAAGGCCGGGTTGGGTAGGAGAAGTGGGAATGAAGTTTAATAAACAAGCACGAAGAGAACAGTCACCTTTATCTACTTGGCTCTAACAAAGAACTTTTGCATCTACCTGGACACATTTTCTGGACGACTGAAGCTTTTTTTTTTCTTTTGGAGGAAGAGAGGGATTTTTTCTTTTTTGGATAAACGAATTCTGGACTGAAATCTGCTGCACATTGCTATCTTTGAAAATCATGGCGAGCGAGGTAAGTACAATTCTTTTCTCTTTCTTTTAAATTCACTTTTGCCCTTGCTTTTTCGAAATCTCGACGTCCTCTGGATGACTCTTGCCTTTTTTTTTTTTTTTCTTCTTCGTCGCTTCCGCTTGCCGGTTCATTTGCGCTCGGAATGATTGCTTATCGGGCTGGACACTTGTCGAACGTAATGGACGAACCTGTTTTACCAGAGAGACATACGCTGCCCACCAGCCACAGAGGCTGACTGCCCCTCTACCAACAAAAAAAAATAGTACCCCACCACCAACCTATCGACCCGCGCTAGCGCGCAGTGCTGTGGCGCGCCGACCGGCACGCACACAAACCACCAAATACTCCCCTGCTGTGTGGCAAGAGGTGATTGAGTCACAAAAAAATCCACCACTTTTCTCAATCACCTTTGATCCGGAGCCCGAGCCCCCCCCCCTCCTCCCCACGCGCCATCCATTCGATTTACGAACGCGAAGCGACTGATTTCCGCATTCATCTTCTTTTCATTCAACCTCTTTTTCTCACACGACCTCTTAACCTCTTCTAGGAACAAGCCCCCTCTGAGCGCAAACCTCGCAAATCAGTCGCCTTTACCGACGAACAGCTCGTAGTTGACGCCGACGGATCCGTCACCATGGTCACCGCCGCCGCCGACGAGGCCCTCAAGGACCCCTCGGCTCAGTCCCATGCCTCTCGTACGCCGCCTCTCTCCGCCGCCCTGGCCACCTTTCATCATGCTGACGATGCCGCTGAAGCTCCCCCTCCTGCAAGCACCACCGATGACGCCCCCGCCCCCGCCGACGATGCCGGTCTCGACCTGTCCCTGCTGAAGAAGAAGAAAAAGAAGGCTTCGAGCAGCAAGCCCAAGGACGAAGATGGCGAGGCTGAGGGTGACGATGGCGGCCTGGACCTGTCGATGAAGAAGAAGAAGAAGAAGAAGGCCAAGGACGCTACCGGCGCCGGCGCCGAGGACGACGACTTTGCCGCCAAGCTCAAGCAACTCGAGGTCAAGGAGGACGAGGGCGGTGCTGCTGCTGCTGCCGCTGGCGGCGAGGAAGGCGGTGACGCTGCCGCTGCTGCCGCCGCCGCCGCCGCCGCGGAATCGGGCGACATGGAGGCCGGCACGGGCATCTGGGCGCACGACGAGACGCGAGGCATCAACTACCCGCTGCTGCTGAGCCGCTTCTTCACGCTCCTGCAGCAAAAGAACCCGGATCACGCCCTCTCTGGGACCAAGACGTACAAGATTCCGCCCCCGCAGTGCATGCGCGAAGGTAACCGCAAGACGGTGTTTGCCAATATTGCCGAAATTTGCCGCCGCATGAAGCGCTCCGAGGAGCATCTCACGTCGTACCTCTTTGCGGAACTGGGCACCATTGGTTCCGTGGACGGCAGTAGGCGTCTGATTATCAAGGGACGCTGGACGCCGGCGCAGCTCGAGACTGTGTTGAGAAAATACATTAGTAAGTTCCTCCTCCTCCTCCCCTTCCCCCCCTTCTTCTTTCCTGGTGCCTTTGTTGCTTGGCAACTCATTCCGAGAATGGAGACGACGCTGGCTTTTTTTTGTTTGTTTTGCATGTCGATGTCGGGGAAACGCTGACAAAGAGTCTTATAGTCGAATACGTCACCTGCAAGACGTGCAAGTCGCCCGATACAGAGCTCAACAAGGCTGAGAACCGACTCTACTTTGTCACTTGCAACAACTGCGGCTCCCGTCGCTCCGTCACCGCCATCAAGACTGGTTTCTCCGCCCAGGTCGGCAAGCGAAAGAAGATGCAGGGTTAAGCGCGTTGACCTCTGGTGTGGTTGGGCCTATCCCAGCACATGCCCCGTTTTTTTTCTTTTTCCGTGTGTGTGTGCTTTATTTCCGCAACTCTCTCAAACGCAGACACTCATTTATCAAAGATGGGGGCATTGCCCCGACAGCACTTTTTTACTACTTGTGATGATTTTTTTTCACAGGGACGGTAAAGGAAAAAAGTGGGAGCATAATGATGAAAATTGAGAATGGAAACAGAAAAAATATGGAAGAATGAACAAGGAGACATGGAATGGATTTGTTTCGGAGGAGACAAAAAAAGTATGTGCGTGGGATGGGGGGAAACATGTGGCGAGAAGTCGGCCTCGCAGCCATGTATATAACGCTGCAATGAGAAAAAAAAAGAAGATTCTTACCTATCCAAAACCCACGTCGTCCTGCAAACTCCCCATTACAGTGAGAACCACTTTTACCAACGAATAATTTACAAACAGTTCACAAGAAAGAGAAGATTGATTGTAGGTAGGTGTGGAATGTAAAAAGAACCAGCAAGCCATGTGCCTATATGTGAGATTGATATCGCTAGTTAACGTCTCTTCTTTACCCTCTTCCATGTCCTCGATTTTTTTTTTCGGGCAAAGTGGAAGAAAAGGAGATAAAAGCAGACCATGTGAGAAAAGAAAAGACATCCCACCCCTGTAAAGAAAACCGACAAACATAATATATCCAAGGTATCCAGAACCTCGATGTCATGTTTTGCGAGTGCAACAAATGAGACCATGACCATGAAGAATAAAACAACAACAAGATGCAGACAATGAATTTGCCCCTGCTCATTACCCTCCTGCGTAGGTAGTTTCCCCGCCTTTTTCCCCTTGAAAGCGAACCAAATACTATACATCATCATGATCAACTTGGAAACTGCCTGGAATGTGGCCATTCATGGGCTCGTCCACCACGACATCCTCCGCAGCGATAGGGTTCTGGTGCAGGACAGCAGCAGCAGCAGCCTCGTCCGCCTGTTGCTGTATCTCCGCCTGGGCTTGCGCCAGACACGTGCGTAGCCAATCAGCCAGACGATGCTTTTCGACATTCTGCTTAAGCGTCTTGTCCTCCCACCGCATGGCCTCGAGCTGCTTGGCGTGAAACTCGGGGCCGAGGTCCCGGAAGCGACGGTCCAAGGTTTCTGTGAAGGCGCCGAGCGCCTCCTGCGGGCTCATGGGACGAAACGGGTCGCGCTCGTCCTGGTACCGCACGCAGTCGGCGAGGACGGCGTACAGCTCCGTGTCGGCCAGTTGCGCCACCACCTCGCGGTCGTGCTTGAGCTTCGTGTCGTTCATGCGCGCCCAGTCATCGCGGATGAAGAGTCGCCGCCAGATGAGCCGCTTGGCCTCCTTGACTTCTTCGGCGTGGCAGCTGCTCTCGGCCACCTTGAGAGCCATCCAGAACGGGTGCGCAATCTCGTCTTTCCACCCGGGCTTGAGCGCGACAAGGGTGAGGAGGTCGATGAGGGTCATGGCGTCGAGGACTTCATGCTTGAGCAGCCGCTCCATGCCATCCTCAAAGACCTGCAGCAGGGCTTTTTGCCGACGGGGAATGTTGGCGCTGTGGGCCTCCATGGCAAAGTTGAGAGCCGCGGCTGCGTCCACGGCGTCGTAGGTGCTGGCAAAGATTTGATTGTAGAGCTGATCCTGAATCTTAAGCGTGATGAGCTCTCTATCTACCTTGGCCAGCTGACCTTCTTGACGCGCCTCATCAAATCTGACCTTGGAGCCGTTGGGCAGCTCCCGCTTTTCTTCGGCTTCAGCTAGCAGGGCGAGCTTGCCGAGGCTTAGCTCGACCTTCTTGTTCCAAACTTGCTGCTCCTTGGTGAGCGCTAGACTGACAAGGGTGTCCGCGGCGTGGTCAACATCCTTTTCTTGTTCAATATCGTTGATCCAAGAGATACGGGCCAGCTCTGGTTTACTGCGCAGGAACTGCGTCTTGAATCCAAGCGTCTCCAGGTCAAACTCCAAAACCGCCTCGACGCCATGCTTCTCGAGCAAGAATCCATAGAGAGGAAAAGCAAAGTCTTTGCCGTAACGGCTGAACCGATCTTCCATTTGCGTCTTCTTGGCCTCGCGGAGCGCTTTCAATGCTTTGACTTCGGCAGGTGAAAGCCCCGGTTGGGCTAGCTTTTGCTCGAGGAACTCAACATGGTCCAGCAAGATAGCAGCCAGGCCGTGCAATGAACCATGCTTCTCTGCAAGCAGAGCACCTTCTTCCCATTTTCCAGCTCGAGCAAGAAAGATGGCCTTTTCAAATCTATCAGCAGCATAGACCTCGCCAAAGGTTTTGGCGATTGTCTTGTGATCCGGGACAGTCGCGCCCCAGCGAGAATATTCGAGTACTGAGGTCAGAGTCGCGTCTGTCAGAGAGGGCAGGTCATCATAAATCTTTTTCAGGATTGCCGCGTCTGGCTTGTCGCCCCCTTTACTCTTTTCTGCAATCAGAGCTTGGTGCTTCTGATACCATGGGCCGGATAGGTCCAGAAGACGCTTCAGATTGTTTGCGAGATAGTGGCGGCCCGTCCATGGCTCTGGCATGCCTTCATAAACATCATACAGGATGCCAAGATGCAGTTTCTCCTCGCCAAGCCCGTAAAGTTCCAGATTCTCTTTTCTGAAATGCAAAGCGCCAAAGTGCGAAGCTATGTTTATTTGTATGGCTTCATGCATCATCATGGTAATTCTTGCTTCGTCAATCAAGCGATCCTGCCAAAGCGTTTTGATGACTTGATAGGCCCAAGCCACGAAACTTGACATGTTAGCCACGTCGTTGATGAACCAATGGCGAACGGCATCGACTTCACCATTGGCGGGCACCGGGTCCGATTTTTCCTTTTCGCTGATAAACTCGACAATGGATCCAATCAGGCTTTTCCTATCATCAGCTGGTCTCGCAGTTGTGAATGCCTCGTGGCGCTTCCATAGCAGAGTAGCGACGTGCATTTTCTCCGCATTGTAAAGCAGGCTCCAGCGTGTACTTCGGTCTATGTCGGCTCCAATAGACTGAATATGCCGTATTAGTCGCTCCAAAGCACTCGAACGCTCGCGGAGGTTGTCTTCCAAAGAAGCTGGTAATGCCGGCATGTAAGTTGTTGAGGAGCCCAATATCTCTTTGCTAACTTGGAGAGCAGCCGCGGATATCTCCTGCCCTGTAAATGAAGCTTCGCGTCGCCCATCAAAGACGAGCGGACTCTCCTTCTTGGAGCCGAAAAAGACGGTCTGCTCAAGCTTGCTCTTGGCCGACACCTGTGGGGCCTGCTCGCTGGCAAACTTGTCAATGTCGGTAATTATAACACGAATGAGACCAGCACCGCGAACCATGAGCAGCACGGCCGGATTTCTCGTCGTCCTTGTGCGGAAACTCCGATTGTCTTCTTGCGTGGTAGACGGCATCTCTTCAAAGCCCGATCCAACTATTTCGTGAAGGTCGTCTTCACGAAAATCGATGACATCCTCGAATGATGGGGGTAGGATGTGGTTATCTGACTGGAGTTGTGCGTCTGGCGATTCAGGCGGAATTGCGACAGAAGCCATAACAGTAGCCCTCTCAAAAACTATGAATGCAACCAAAGCAGGTCGGGGAAGGTAAAGTCGAGGGGAGGATGTTGCTTCGCCAGCAGCTCGAGGCAGAGGTGTGGAGTATGATGTTATGGGACGCGTTACACCAATTTTGCACGAGTTTGCCCTGAGAATAACTTCAACGAGCGAATAGCGCGCAACGCTTTTGCGCGTTAGCGACACAAGAAGGAGCAAGTGCTGAATAGAAGCGTCGTCTGTGGCTATGGCATCACTTAGCCTGCTCAATTCGTGATACTTGTGCTCGAGGCCTTTGGGGACAAAGGTAAAGTCAAGCGCCTCCAAGGAATCTGCTGAAAAGTCTTTTGTATATGGGTCGGCCTCGTGGAGAGCAGAGTATATGGAGTCGCGCATCTCGGCCTCGCCAATATGCTCGTTGTGGCCGCCGCGGTGGATCTTCCAGGCTTGCAGCTTGGCTTTTGCGGTAAGAGCGACAATGTTGCGTTCACCCACGCGGGCAGATCGATCGGCGCGCACCGCAGCGATTTCGCCTCGTAATGACAGGTTGGAAAAGGCATGACGGATGCTGCCAAAGATGCCGCCGCTGGAGTTGGCGAGACTTGAGCGTAAAAATTGTACAGAGATGGCGGGTCGGCCGTGGTTGTCGCGAACACTGAGATAGGCCAGACGCCCTGAGTTGAAGGTGATGATGAAGCCAGCAGACTCGGCATTGGTAATGGATATGACCTTTTCTCCGTGGGATATGCCAGATATGGTGTACTCGACTCCAGATCGGTCCTTTTTGATAAAGGCAAATGTGGCGGCGCTGGAGATTGATTCCCAAAAGACAACCTTGCCGGTGCTAGCTGTGACGACGACCAGTCCAGGTTCTGTTGAGGAAGCTGATGGAGAGACGAAGCATCCGACGGGGAGAGGGTCGCTGGATCTGCCTGGTGTCGGCAGTGTGAATGTGAATGTCTCGGGAGATTGCGATGTCGAGTTGTAGGGCCAGACCAAGGCGTTTGTCTGCGTGAGGGCCAGGGCATATCCGAAGGAAGACGAGACATCGGCATGCTGCTTCACTATGAGAGGGTATTAGCGGGATGAAAACGCGGGAAGAGGGCAAATACTGACGAGACCAGTCCGAACGGATCCTATCCGGGATGGCAGGCAGCTTGCTAACTACGTAGGCATTCGTGCTAGTCTGGTGTGACCAAGTTAGATGAGTGTTGCACGGTGAAAATTCTGTCGACTCACCAGAACAACGCTGCCATCGCCCTTTGACGCTGCTCTCTCGGCGTGTTTGGACTTTTTTGTGCGGACTTGTAATTCCTTTCGCGGGGCTCGGGTGATGTTTTCGATGCCAGCATCGTCGACGGGCTCCAGGACGCGCTTCTCGATTACCGGAGCATCGACGGCGTCGGGCTGCACGTCTGGGTTGAGAAAGGTTTGCTCCGAGAGGGGTATGCGTGCGCGCTTCGCCTTGGGCTGCGGTACGAGGCTTTCCTGGGACTTGGGACGTTGGCGGCGGCGTGAGCGGGTGGCCGTGGCTGGGCCGCCTTCGGTAGCGGCGGTGGAAAACATTTCGAGATGACGAGGAGCAGAGAGCAGCGCGCAACGGGGTGTGAAGGACGCGCACAGAATCAATGAATTGATCAACTCGGATGAAAATTAGATAAAAGCTGATGAGGGTCGATGCATTTCGGGCATGCAAGTAGGTTGGCGCAAGGGCAGAGGGGATGGGCAAGGTTGTTGATGCTAGTAGCTGAATGTGAAGTCCAAGGTATTTATTGGCGGTGGATGAAAAACAAAGTTAGAGCAACGTGAGCTGTGCTACCCAGTCGTGCCTGTACGTGCGCTGGCGCTGCGCAACCTAATCATTTGGACGGGATGGGCCATTGGCTCATCGGGCGCCAGCGCAGCGCCACAGTGGCGGTACCTACCGTTTGCCCCAGATTGCGTGGAGATGCTTGTACCTCCAAGCTTGATGCTACAGTTATAATCTACAACAGCTCATGGAGAGGGAATACGTCAATTGAAAATCAAGAGAATCTCACGGCAGGCTAAAGTTTTCTCTAGGAAGTCTAGCCAAATTATTATTGTGTGGAATCTTGACACGCTCAACCACCACCTTGGCTACAAATAAGTACTGATTTGATAAATACCGTACTGAAGCTACCACCGCGTGCACCGCTAGGTATCTCGAATTCCTCGGATTTCTCTCAACCTTGCATATCCCACCAATACCTGCCCAGCTACAATCTATTTCGCCTAAAACTGTAGCCTCGCCAACGCTGTTCCTCCCGAGACACGTCACTTTAGCTTGCACGCCTCGCAGTCTCATCAACCACTCACCGAGACAACCACACCACGCCTCGTGCCTATTTAGGCTTAGCGCCATCCGGCAACACCTCGTCCGTCCGTCTCCAACCCACCGAGCACCGAGCGCCCGGCTGGACAGAAGTTCAACTGCTCCTTCCACGGGACATGGCATCTTTCTCTTCTCCTTTTCTGCCACCATGAGGCGCTTCTCCACGGCCGTCACCATCACGGACCCGCTGGTCAAGTACCAGAGCCTGCTGTCCGCCGGCGTTTACGCCCCCGATCCGGCGCAGCACCGCCTGGCCCGCCACCTACACAAGGTCTACCTCCGGATCAAGGACTACTCACCGCAGCGCGAGTACCAGCAGCGCCTGTCGCAGGCCGCGCGTCTGACCGAGACGCAGAAGCCGAGCGAGGGGTCGGAAAACATCCTCGCCGTGCCCAGTCACGCCATCTGGCGCAACCCGCTCTTTAAACACCTCCTCCCGAACAGTGCCGAGACGCGGGACAGCCTCGCCCTCACACGCGTGCTGCAAAACCATGAGCTGGCCATTGCGATTGATTCGCCAAAGGGCCTCTTTCTCTCCGGTGAAGTGGGCACCGGCAAATCCATGCTGCTGGATCTGCTGGCAGACGGACTTCCCCACGAGCGCAAGAAGCGTTGGCACTTTAACACATTTATGCTCTACACGTTTGCGCAGCTCGAAACGTACCGCGCAACAAATCAAGCAAGTCTCATTCGACGTCGCAATGAAGAGCATTCGCTACTGTGGATGGCCAAGAAGCTGGTCGACGAGTCGCCCATTCTCTTCTTGGACGAGTTTCAGCTTCCCGATCGCGCGGCCAGCAAGATTCTCAGCCATTTATTCATTGCGTTTTTTCAGCTTGGAGGTGTTTTGATTGCTTCATCAAACAGAGTGCCAGAGGACCTGGAAAAGGCCACGGGTGTCGATTACACAAACGCACCACGCCTGGGCATCATGCGCAAATTCTTTGGCGGCGGTCGTGCGGAAAGCGAGCTGTACGGCCGAGGCAGCGACTTTTCGAAACTGTTGGAGGTTCTCAAGGCTCGGTGTGATTTTTGGCAAATGGAAGGCGTTCAAGACTGGCGGCGACGAGAGGATACTGGGCTCAAGCTCGACGATGCAACAACCTCTGGCGAGGCAGCCTCCGCGCCCACATCAACAGACGTCGATGCCCCGAAATCAGCCGACAGGCCGCCAAACTACTTTATCACTGGCCGTGAAGATGAAAATTGGCCAGACTATGTCAAGGAAAAAGCCTTTGGCAATAGCCCTGGCGAAAATTGGACGTCGAAAACCATCATTGTATATGGTCGCACGGTAGTCATCCCGCAGCACCATGATGGCACAGTGCTTTGGGAATTCGAGCAGCTAGTCGGCACATTCGGACCAGCAGACTACATCACAATGGCCTCGTCGTTTCACACATTCATTATTGACAACATCCCCGCCATGTCCGTTTTGCAAAAGAATGAAGCGCGCCGCTTCATCACCTTTCTCGACGCCCTCTACGAAGCCCGCTGCAAGCTCGTCGTCCGCGCCGAGCGGGCCCCGGACCACCTCTTCTTTCCCGAGACCAAGAATCATCCCGCCTCCACAGCCGGCATCTCCCCCGACAGCAACGAAGACGTCCAAGAGGGCGACGCCACCTACTCGGAAACCATTGCCGAGGTGTACCAAGACCAGATGGCGCCGTTTCGCCCCAACGTCTCCTACTACGACACAAAGACTGCCACGTCGCAGTACGACCCGGACCAGGACTCGGATTTCATCTTGGAGCAGCAGCAGCAGCAGCAGCAGCATAAAAGGGTGGATTTCGGCAAGACTGGTGCCTTTACGGGTGAGGACGAGCGCTTCGCGTACAAGCGCGCGGCGTCGCGCCTGTGGGAGCTCTGCAGCGCGCGCTGGCACGCCCGCACGGGGCCCTGGTGGCAGCCGCTGCCGGCCGAGGCGCGGCACTGGGAGGGCGGCGAGGCGTCGAGGCCGCTGAGCGGCAGGCCCTTGCGCGAGGGAGAGGATACGGGGGGGCGCATGGGGGCGAGCGTCGACGTGGACGAGGTGGCGGGGCTGGCGCGGTACAGGATAGAGCACATTAGAACGGGCGGCGACCCGGAGCACAATTAGAGAAGGCTTCTTTTCAGGGATAGCGTGACGAGGTAGACTTGTGATATACGAAAGACAGGGTGTATGTTGCAACCACCAACTGCCTCACCAAATACAGCCCTCTCATTAGCCTAAATACACGATAGACTTTAGTTTATACTGAAATTATTTACTATATGTAAAAGCCTACTTAAGAATAATAAGTATTTAATACCAACTAAATTAACCTATAATATATATATTTTCTCCTTAATAAGACTAATATTAATTAACTAGCTAGCGTAACGGTGTACATCACCATTATCTTAACCACCATGTAGGTTAGGCTAGCGACCAAGTACCTCGAGCATAATCATGCGCTCTGATCTACGTTATACGCTTCTCGGCGATTTCCATTTAGGACCTCTTATGGCCGCTTTGGCTGTTATACTTTAATTATCTGGCATCTTTATATAGAACTAGGCGAGGGCTATTCATGGGAAGAAATCGCGTTATTCTGATTTGGGCCTCTCATAACTATTACTTCCCTAAGCTTTAGATTCTACACAAATTGAGTTCTACCTCAAGGGAACCTGTCTTGCCTGCTTTACACTTCTGGAAAAGAGGAGGGCCCACGTGGTGCCAAACTTGACATTTGAAAAATCACACTGTGTGCGTCGTTGAGCAGTGTGAATGGACTTGTGCTTGGAAGTCCAAGTTTCCCCGCACCACCAGCGCCTACGACTCCGACCATAAAAGTTGGCACAACAAATTCCCTTTGTGCGATTCCCTCCCGCGTGGTCGACTTTTGATTATGCTACTAGCCCCTACTGTTTCGCCACCGAGTTTTTAATGCGTACAACAACTTTTGTTAACGCAATCTGTCGTTATAAAAAACAATGCTTTGCTCTCTTTGCCAAGGCGTGTTAGCGCAGGAGAATAGATGTGCGGAAACAAAGCCATCTGGCCACAGGCTGACCCATCACAGTACATGTGCAACCCTAAAGCACTCTGTCGAAAGGGGATGCTATGTCTGTAATCGTCTTTGGGCAAATCTTGCGCTGGATGAACGGCAAGTCGTGTCTGCGTCGGGCGACTCAACAGCAGACGACGGTGATGATGAAGAAGTTGGAGTCGAGGCCAAGTTTTTGGAAGCGGAGGATACATCCGCTGATTATATCACGGCATCTTCTTTGTCAGACGGCCAGGCATACGGCTACCCTGGATGCTACTTGTGGGAACTCGCGTTCAACACAAATAAAGTAGTCGTTCCCGACAAGACCCAAGACCGGGCTTTTTGGCGAGCCGCTTTTCTGCTGAGTCCCAACAATGGTAGAAAACCCGTTCAAGAAAAATGCGAAATTATGCCACGTGCGAGCTCTAATAGAGGTCTAGGGTTAGAGATGAACAAAGGATGCGGAACGCTTTCCTCACATACAAACTCAAACGCAACTCTTACTCTTGCGAGGCGCTGGATTACAGACTGCGCAGCACACCATCAGCAATGCAAGACCTCTTCAAGGGAAAATCGCTTCTACCCTACTCGTCTTCTAGATTGTGGGAGACCTGGAGCTTCAGACATACGCTGTCACCTGATCGAACCCAGCATTGCTGCAACCGATGAGCCGTATATAACGCTAAGCCATTGCTGGGGTGTCACGGACTCTTTGAAGCTTACAACCGAAAACTATGGCCAGCTACTCAACGGGATATCCATGTCCCTTCTACCCAAGCTATACCAAGATGTGGTACACATTGCCCATCAACTAAACGTCAGATATTTATGGATAGATGCCATGTGCATCATTCAACAAGGGGACCAGCTTGCCGATTGGCAGCGAGAGGTAGCACTCATGCGTGACGTGTATTCCAACTCCTTCTGCAACATCTCCGCTGCGAACGTACCGGATAGCTATCATTCCATGTTCGGTTCCCGAAACCCAGAGGCTCTGCATCCCGATGTAGTGTACTTGTCAGTTAATGGTCTCAATACTACATACCTTGTTTCTGATATCCGACTCTGGGACACTGACGTCTCCCGTGCTGTTGTGAATACTCGGGCTTGGGTACTCCAAGAGCGGCTGTTAGCCCCCCGAATATTACACTTTGGCGCGAGCCAGGTGTTCTGGGAGTGTCGTGAAAAGGATGCAGCAGAAGTTTACCCGGATGGTCTTCCTGTGGATATCTTTCCGGCGCACAAGCGGTTGAAGGACCTCACCTCGGATCGCGGCGAGGATGAGCAAGGTTGTAAGCTTTGGGCGTATCAATCCTGGATCAGGATCGTCCAGATATACTCAGCTTGCGCCTTGACATTTCCTAGCGATAAACTCGTTGCTATTTCTGGCATAGCGGCGATGATGGAGGCTGTTTTATGTGATGAGTACATTGCCGGCATGTGGCGCCGTCATTTAGAGAAGGAGCTTCTTTGGTCAAGGGTTGATATGCAGTCCGCCATCCCTGCGCAACCGCAGACATACCGTGCTCCAAGCTGGTCATGGGCGGCTGTAGATGGAGAGATTAATCCCGGTTGCGTGGAGGTTGAACCTGAGGATATATTGATCAAAGTTGTCAGCTTGCGACTGAAGCACATGGAAATCGACAAGATGAGTTTGGCTGAGGGAAGCCGGCTGCGGTTATTGGGATATTTGAAACAGCTGGTCCTGCTTCCTTATACCTCGGCGCGCGCTACAAAGAGTAACGGAGATTGGATCATGGTCGTCAATGGAATGCAAGTGAGCAGACTTACCAACTCTACCATGCGAGAACCACAGCCCCATGTCAAGCTCGACGCTTCTCACGTGAGTTTTGAGAAGCAAAACAAAGAAGCAAGCCTCTATTGTATGCCAGGGCGAAAACGAAGTGGCGATGGCGGGAGCATATACATTTTGTTACTGGAACTGGTGAATAGGGAAAGAGGCATCTTTCGTCGCATTGGGCTTGCCCGCGGTTGGGACAAAGCCGTGATTGAGAGAATGTTGAGCCACCATGTCATGGAAACCCAATTTCCGTGCGAGGAATACAAAGACGGTAAGCACTTGATAAGCCTGGTTTGATCAGCTCTGCTCCATACATCAGAAGCATATCATGAAGCTGTGAGCGTCTATAATAGACTTACTTTTTATACTTGTATTAAGTTATCATAGGCAGGATCTTACTTGAGAACAATAACTAATCAACACTGACCAAATTAACCCGTGATACATACATTTTATCCCTAACGGGACCAACAGTGTATATTGTAGTATAGACGGCAAATGGCACACCTTGCCATCCGCGGTAAATGATAATGTCAAACAACGCGTTTTGAGCAACCCCTCCAACGCCAAAGCCATGATGCCAATTACAAAAAACAGTAAACCATGCAACAACATCTCACTCACCCCACCCTCCCTTCCTTCCTCTTCCTTCTCACAAGCTCGTCACGCCCGGCGTCCACGACTCGCCTATCCGCCTCATCGCCTCCCCAAACGCCTTGCTTGTAATCTTGGCTCCCCCGCGACCCCCCAACGGCACATGCCTCTCCGGATCATAAAACGGATTCTGCAGCAACCTCACATATGCGTCCTGCATGGCCCTAAACACGGGCTTCAGATCCGCGTCCCGCAAGCCCGGCCCGCCACCACCGCCCGTCGATGATGATGATGATGATACCACGGTACCGCCAACTCGTCGACCACGCATGTCGACCACGCAGACGAGGCGCGTGCCCGTATTCGTTTCGAAGCCGTAGGCGGCGAGGCGGTCGTCGACGGCGTGCAAAAGGCCAACGTCGCCGGTGACGAGCGAGGCGGCGCGGCGGCGGCGCGCGTGCAGCTCAAAGACGTCGACGGCCGAGGAGAGGAGCAGCGAAAACTCGAGAGGCGTGCGCACGGGGGCGAGGGTGTTGGTGGCGGCGTCGTGAGAAGGGAATGTGGACATGTGTAGGGGGTTGTTCTAGTAGGGATTTTCGAAGGGTTAGCGGAAAAGAGTTGAAGAGGACCTTGGAGAGGAAGGGAGGGAGAGAGGGGAAGAACTTGCGTTGCGGCCTATGACGCCGAGGCAGGCGATGGAGGGTATCGCAGTTGTCATGGTTTGCTGGGTTTTTTTTTGGGCGGGGGGGGGGGGGGGGAGCTAGGTTGCGGTGAGGTTGTTGTATAAAGCAAGGTAAGAAGGTGGGATCTCGAGGAGCTGGAGACCTGTGGTGGGGGGACGTATAGCTAACATGCAGCATTGGCGGGCACCAACAAACGGGCTTTCGTGGGGTAAAGCGTCGAGCTCGCACGACACGCTTCTTCGATGCATAAATACTGAAAATAGGGCACTGTTGTTTAAAGGGATCCCCAATCAAGTAATATGAATTATGTACTGGTTTTTCCTAGGATCTGACCTGGCCTCGCAGCATCCTGCGCAGCTCAAAATGATGATGCCTCCCAATCAGTTCCGCATGCTAAAAACAATAGTCGCCTGTTCCCAACCCATGTTGTAAAAAGAAAATGCCCGCTAAATACAAATTGCTCACTGCTTCATCATTTTCCACCACCACCACACTCAGCCGTCGTCCTCCCATTCCTCGTCGTCGATTATGTACGCCGTCTCCTCGAGGCCGCGAATCACCTCTTCAACCTCGAGCGGGTCGGTAATGGCCCAGACGCCGCCGCCCTTGACCAAGTCCTTGCCGCGCATGCCGACTTCCTTGCCGACGAGGTTGCGGCCGACCTTGCCGGGCCCGATGCCCACCCAGCGGCGTATCTTTTCCTCCCTGTCCAGGTAGCGGATGCTGTCCCACCAGCGGACCGTCTCGAGACATCCACGGGCCAGCAGCTCCTTGAGCTCCTCCTTGCTGCGAAACGGGCGCGCAGTGACGTTGCTGATGGACTCGATCCTGCCCGGCCAGGTGATGATGTCGTCGTGCTCGCGGCCGGGGACGCGGCTTTTCCCGCGGAGCATGGCGCGCATGACGGCGACGGCAGGCTTCATGATGGGGCTGTGAAAGGGGCTGTCGCTGGCGAGGCGCACGGCGCGCGGGTCGTGGCCGTGAAACTGGCGCACGTGGGCAATGAGCGTGTGGATGCGCTCGATGCTGCCGCTCAGCACAATCTGGTTTTTGCTGTTGATGTTGGCGATGAGGACCTGCTCAATCGGTGGCACCTCGACCTCGCCGGAGCTGGTGTTGTTGGCTCCGTCAGCGCCAGCGGCGGCGGCTTCAGCGCCGTACGCGCTCGAGTGCCCGACAAAGGCGTGCACGGCGTCAATGAGCCCCGGCAGGTGGCCTGGTTCCGTGATCATGGCGACCATGCCGTACTCGCCGCCGTGCTCAGCAACGGCCTGCTGCGTGGCTCGCGACATGGCGGCCGCACGCTCACGCACCAGATACAAACTGTCGGGGAAGCTGAGGTAGCCGCCGGCGACGAGGGCGGAAAACTCGCCGAGGGAGTGGCCCAGCGCCACGTCAAAGTGGTCGGCGACGTGGAAGTTGAATTCTTTCTCGAGGATGCGCAGGATAATGATGGACGTGGCCATTATCGCGGGTTGCGAGTTGGTCGTCTGCGTGAGGACCTTGGAAGGCCCGTTTTGTATAATGTCGGAGAGCTTGAAGCCCGCGTAGTGGTCCATCTCTTGCATGATGTGGGACGTGGTCGCAGGAAAGGCCTCGATCCACGGCGTGAGCATGCCGACTTTTTGGACGCCCTGGCCTGTGTGCGCGCGCATGTTAGTTCGAGTATTGCGAGAAGTTGTCGTGGTCGTTGTGATGTGACTCAACATCTCCGTGTCACGCTCGGTTGCCCGGCATAAGGGCCGCCAGCAAGGATAGAGAACTCCGTACCTGGGAAGAATATGGCCGTTCGCGCTCGGGATGTTGGTCCGGAACTCCATTGCCGCCGCGGGACTCTCGTCAGGGCCCGCGACAGCTTCCGACGGAGCGTCGAGGCAGCGAACCGGTGGTGCATCACGAAAGAGGGCCGGAGCGAGCTTGTGGGGGGATGAAGTGGTGCTCTTATGAGGACGGCGCTCTCATTTCCACGTCTGACTGAGCAGAGTATCTCGCGAGCATGTGAGAGCGATAAGAGAATAGGATAAGCTGTGCTCGGGGAGAAAAAGGTAAAAGATGGGCTCGAGTAGCAGAGGTGAGGGCTTGATTTGCGTCACGTTTACCTGACTGGGCAGCAGCCAGCTTGTCTCGTCAGCTCTGGGGAGGCACAAAAGAATAAGCGGGGCTTGGGGTTGGCGGCATGACGAGTGGCTGCATAATAATAAGCCACCGCTGGGGACCCCGTGGGCGGGCCAGCCAGTGATTAATCTAGCTGCGGCTGTCAAGACAGTAGCAAGAAGTAGTGAAAGAGGAGAACTGATGTCCAGTCGTCAGTTTACCAAAGACAGTGTCTAGCAGTCTTTTCATAAATCGACATCCCAAATCAGCCAGTTCAACATGAGATGTTTACAGAAACGCCGAATACACTGCATCTTATACCTACATCAACTCTATAGAGCCCCGCACCGTTGGCCCGCCCAATCGCCGCCCCCTGCATCGCCCGCCCACGCATCCTGCTGGGTCCGTTGCAACATTCTTATTCTCCCATGATAAGCATACTACTAATAAATGAGATGCCAAGCAAGCACGCTTACACACTAGTCTCGATCTTTGATCTGATTATCCTTATCTTTCTGACAGGTGCCAAATGCCACCCATCCATCTACCTCCCTGTATTCATTCCATGTCTCGTGTCTGTGGATTCATCATATGTGATATGTACGTGCGACGTCTTGCCACAATGTCCGTCATCTATCGACCATGTCGGCCATGATGCTTATCGCCTGCCTTGCCGTCTAGCATCTCAACTCCACGCCGCCTTTGCTAACCGTCAGGTACTTGACCCCCTTGTAGGGCTTGACACCCTCTCCCAGGCCCCTGCTTTTGCGTGTGTCTAGCACGATGCTGTCCACTTTTAGCCCGCTTGCCAGCCAGCCCTTGACGGAGAAATTGACCGATGCAGAGCTGGGCATCAAAATCTTGTTTTGCGCTGCTTTCTTGGCATCCTGCTCGCCGCTGCCGCTCTCCTTTGCCTTGCTGCCATGGCTCCCTTGCGCAACATTGGCCACCGGCACGCTCTGGTACGGCTCATTGTATGAATAGTCCTGTCCGAACCCAAACCCGCTGGGGTCGAATGCGTCCTCTTGCGGCTCGTTGCTCAGAGCCCCCACAACAGTGCTGCGCAATCCGAAATGTGACGTTGGTCCGCTCAGCTCCTTGGCCGGGATGTGCCACTCTAATATCCTTTGCCCCGGGTTGAAGCTGGCATCGCCCCTGCTCGGGCGTATATCGGAAAGGTTTCTAACATCAGTAGGTAGGGGGATCGTAACAACCAAGTCGTCGAGCGACGGTGAGGCTGGCGTGCCAGGATGCGGGGATCCAAGACGGCCCGGGCCGCCTCCTCGCCCTAGCTGGCTGGATGATGATGACCCAGGAGTGCCGAATATTTTGTTTACTTGTAGCCGTACCTCAAACTCTGAACCAGTTGGTCCCATGCCAGTCTTCATCTCCAGATTCACGGGCAGCTTGAGGGAGCTGCTGCTGAGATTGCCAGACTTGCCGCTTGTAAACGGAAGCAGATCGACTTCGTAGCCTGCCAGAATAAAGCGACCGTCCGGCGGAATAAAGCTCAGCTCGCCTGGCCTTTCCTTCCACCTATTTAGTCTGACGCAAGGATGAAAAACAGGTAGCTCCATAAAGCTTCCCAGGTTGTGTTTGCCAGAAGGGCTAGTGAGGTTGACCGTTATATCCGGTACTCCGGACACCTTGGCCGTGAATGCAATTGTTCCGTTTGCAAATGCAGCCAGTGGTCTTCCGGAAGGTGCAAGCGTAACTGACAAGGTCTCGACGACATCGGCGTACATTTCATTCGAGGTATGTCGTACGTTTGCTCGCCGCCATGGTAATGCTGTCCCTGTCGTGGGTAATATCGCAGGTGTGTTCGAGCCAGAATTGGACTGTAATTTTCTGCATCATGTCAGTCAACGGCCAAAAAAGCCAAATAATAATGCGACAGGAACCTCGCATCATACCCAGGCAAGTTGATGCTTCCCAGCAGCTTGTCGACCCAGCCTTCTACTTCCACAACCTCCCGCAGCGCATTAGGCTCGGTTGTGCTCACGTTTCCGGCATCACACATCTCCGTCAGAAGTTGTGCGACAATATCATAGTTGTTTTCAATCTTCACCGCGAGCAGCGGCGCGCCCACAAAGTCCTCAAACGCATCGATGATGCGGTGCAGAAACTCGAGCACCAGCAGCGGCTCAATCTCACTCGATGACGTCGCCAGAAAGAGCAGATGCCCGTGTGTCAGACTGAAAACAAGCGTCGGCGGGTTTGTGTTGGCGAGATATATCAGGTTCGGCCGCGGGGCAGCGTGCTCGAGGTAGAGGGGTAAGAGCTGGGCGGCGGCCAGCGGCCGGCCGGCGTAGGCGTGGGATAGTATCGGACTTCTAGAGGTGGCGTTTAGCGTCAACGCGCTTGAAGCGGAAATACGCATTTCCTACCTGTTGTCATCAAAGATGTGTACGGCTTCAATGGCGCCGCTCATGGTGACTGTCCGCTCTGCGCCTCTCGGGCAGTACTTTGCAAGCTTGTCGGAGCTGGCTTGAGGCTCTCTGCCCCACACGCGACATGGTCCAAATGACGAAGCTCTGTGGAAGCTCAATGCTGACTAACATTTTCAGGATCAGCCAGCATTGCAACGAGACTTGACTTTTGAACTGCAAAGCACAGCGAGACAAAAGGTTTACCGTCAAGCTTGTTTGGAAGGCCTACCTTTTGCAGTCGAAATGGCCGGCGACACAGTACCCTCGATCCATCAGTTGGAGAAGCCCGAGAACGTGCATGAGATGCTGCGCAAAGACCGGCAGGAAGATTGTCTGTCTTGCAAAGTGGTCGGTATGTCCCGAACCCGATCGAGATACAAAGCATTCGAAATACAAACCCTTCAAGGAATTGGACTGACGGCGTCAATTTCGTAGGAAGCGGCGCATTCTTTGGTCTCGCGGGCTATAGCTACTTTTCCGGCATGTCGCAGCTCGAGCGACAGCAGAAGGCCATCCTCCAGAGCAAGTCCATGTTTGGCATGCGCAGTCGCAAGGCCGGCATCGTTGGCATATCTCTCGGCCTTGCATACATGGGATTTTGGAGAGCTTTTTTTTAGCGGGCACTACATGCGCGCCGACTCTGACGAACCAACACATCGACTCGAAGCGAACAAGAGTGACAGGCAAAGCACGGCGTCCACGGCTGCAGCATGTCGAGAACTTTCATGTATTAACAATGTATAACAATGTTTTATATGCCGATCCGGCAAATGCCAATAAACTACGATACCCATTTCTGAATTCATTTACGCGCCTAGCCTGCGAATCAGCAAAGCCGGCGTACTTTGGCTGGACCGAACTGCTCGCTGTTGCTAACCCTTGTCAGATAGCACACAAAATGCAAGAATAATTAACTTCCATCTCAAATAGACTGCTAAATTGATATGATGCATCGTAAATCTTGCTATATTCAGAAAGTAGGCCTGAGCATGCTGGAAGCTTGCTGGTGGAGCTGTCACTGCGAACTCTCGACGGCAGCAGAAATCTCTGCCCCACAATCAACTTATTTCATCAAGCTCTCAATCACCAACCATTCATTTTCAAGAGACACTGAATCCGACAATACATAACTTGGACCTTGGACGAATTGCTTTCGTTCAGCCATTGCCGAAAAGAGAAAAAAAAAAGGCAACAGACCGCCTACATTGCCTTGCAAAGTTGCCAAGCACTCACCGGGGCACAAACGCATCAGCCTAATACAATGCCCATCACAATTCTGCGTCCGCAGCCCGCGGCGCAACAGCAACCTGCGGCAGCCGCAGACTCCGACTCCGACTCGTCAGATTCAGATGGAGGTGTTGATGTGCAAGGCGATGTGACCATGCGCCGCGCGTCCAAGCGCCAACGGTCGATGGTAGAAGACGACGCAGAGGCGGATGAGATTCTCACACCGGGCAGCATCATCACATCAAACCCTCAATGGATGCGGCAAGTCCCCCTTTACCCCTCCATCCCCCTCAAACCTCCCCCCGAACCATATACTGACGAAACCCCAAAACAGAGGTCACGGCACCTACGTCCCTCATGGATCCACCTCCATCACTTCCTCCCTCGCCGGCACGCTGACCAGGACCAACAAGCTCCTCTCCGTGCGGCCTTTGCGCGCGCGCTACACGCCCGAGATTGGCGACCTGGTCGTGGGCCGCATCGTCGAAGTGCAGGCCAAGCGGTGGCGCGTCGACGTTGCCGCGTCGCAGCTCGCCATCCTGCAAATCTCGGCCATTAACCTGCCCGGCGGCATCCTGCGCAAGCGCACCGAGACAGACGAGCTGCAGATTCGCAGCTTCTTCTCCGAGGGCGACCTGGTCGTCGCCGAGGTGCAGCAGCTGCACCAGGACGGCGCGGCGAGCCTGCACACGCGCTCGCTCAAGTACGGCAAGCTGCGCAACGGCGTCTTTGCGAGCGTCAGCGGCACCGGCGGCGGCGCGGGCGTCGTGCGCGCCAAGCGCCAGGCGTGGACCATGGAGCCCGTCGAGGGGGCCGGCGCCGCGCACAAGATGGATGTGCTGCTCGGCGTCAACGGTTATATATGGATCAGCCGCCACGTCGAGGGCGACGCGGCGGCCGAGGCGGCGGGCGTAAATCGCATGGAGGAGACGGTCAGCAGCAAGGTGTACTCGAGCCAAAACGATCCGGTGGACGTGCCGACGATGCGCGAGATTGCGCGTGTGCGCAGCGTCATCCTCGCGTTGGTGGAGAATGGCCTGCGCGTGGATGAGGACACGGTGACGAGGGGCTACCACGAGGCCGTGGAGCTGGGCAGAGAGACGCCGGATGATGACTTGTATCTGGGTGGTGAGCGAGGGCGGCGGTTTGCGGCTGTCATGGCTCGTGTATAATAGACTATTAAAGGGGGGTCGTTGCTTTTATACAGATCAATTATTACGAAAAAAAAAAAAACAACGGGATGCAAAGTGGCAATCACAGTACTGGCCAGTATTGTTTGGTGATGAAATGGGTTGTCATTCTCATGTCCTTCTCAACTACAAATAAATACATCCATCCGTAATACATACAAAGAAACCCCAACCAGCTTCGTACAAGTTGTCATGTCCAACGCAAGAGACCCAGAGCGAGGGAAGCTGACCAAAGTACTGCGCCTCGCTCACGTCAAGAAAAGCGTCTTGCAATCTTTCTTTTCCGGTCTTGCCGTCCTCGAAACTTTTTTTTTCTTCTTTATTTACTCCTTGGGTGCGGGCCTAGAGTTTGGCACGTCTCAGCTCAACAAGATACGCAACGACGGGCATCAGAATAGCCCACCTTAGAATGCTGCTCTTCTTGCTGCCGCGCCCGCCGAGCGTAAAGATGAGGCCGATCCAGTAAAAGAGGCCCCTCTTGGGGTTGCCGTCGCGGTCAAAGTTTGGCGTGAGCGAGGTGAGCGCCTGGGTGCGCGCCAGCTCCTTGAGGTCGTAGGGCATGTAGCGCAGCTTGAGCACCAGGTCAGCCCATTTGGGCACCTTGCAGATGATGCGCTCGTGGCTAAAGGCCTTGAAGGAAAAAGCGCCGTGGTAGTTGCCCTGGCCCGAGGAGCCGACGCCGCCAATGGGCGTCTGGTTCATGGCGGCGTGCCAGAAGCCGTCGTTGATGGTGGCGCCGCCCGAGGTGACGTTGAGGAGGACTAGATGACAAGAATATGTGAGCGACAATTTTTTTTTTTTCGAATTCAGCATGTAGGGAAAGGGAGCACATACTCTTTTCGTTTTCGGCATCGGAGCCAAACGTGGTGAGGGAGAGGGGCGTGGGGTCGACCTTGTTGGCAATGTCAATGGCTTCGTCGAGCGTGTCAAAGGGTAGAATGGACCAGATGGGGCCAAAGCTCTCCTCAACCATCATGCTGTCGTCGATGCTGTCGACAAGCACAGCCGTGGGCTCAATGATGAGCTTGTCCTCCCACATGTTGCCGCCCATGACAATCTTGCCCTTGGTATTGTCGAGCATGCGCTTCAGGCGGTTAAAGTGGTTCATGTTGACGATGCGCGACCAGTCGGGGCTCTTGTCGGCGCCGTGGGGCATAAACTTTGCGTGGAGCTTGTTAATCTCGGCGACAAACTCGTTGAGCACGGGACGCTCAACGAGGACGTAGTTGTGCGACAGGCAGACCTGGCCGGCGTTGAACGTCTTTTGCCACATGAGGCGCTTGGCGGCGAGCTTGACGTCGGCGTGTCGCGTGACAAACGACGGGTTCTGGCCGCCGAGCTCGAGGATGTACGGCGTCAGCGTCTCGGCCGCCTTTTTGGCAATGATGGTGCCGACGCCCTTGCCGCCGGTAAAGACAATCTTGTCAAACTTGTGCTCCATGATGTGCTTGGTCTCGTCGACGTTGCCGTTGACGCAGACGTAGCAGTCCGGGTCGAGGTACTCGTCAAAAATCTTCTTGAGGACCATGGCGGAGTGCGGGGAGAGCTCCGAGGGCTTGAGGAGGACCGTGTTGCCGGCAGCAATGGCGCCGATGACGGGGGCGAGGTTGAGCTGGAAGGGGTAGTTGAAGGCGCCGATGATGAGAATGGTGCCGTAGGGCTCGCTGCGCATCTTGGGGCCGAGCGCCCAGTACTGAAAGGGGATGTCGTCGACGGCCTTGTCCTTGGCCCATTTCTTGACACTGTTGGAGACGTAGACGGCCTCGTTCTTGATCCAGTCAATCTCGGACAGCTGCGCCTCAAACTTGCACTTGCTGAGATCCTTCATCAGCGCCTCCTCGATGAGGGCGGCGTTGTCGGCGACGCCCCAGTAGAGCTTGCGGATCTGCCGGATGCGAAAGTCGACATCCTTGGTCTTGTTGGTTCGAAACGTCTTGCGGATCGTGTCGATGCTGGCGGTGATGTTGTCGAGGCTCGTGGGCTCGTACGCTGGGATGGCGCCACTGGAAGCCATGGCGGCGGCAATGTGCGACGATGGCGATGCGGCGGAGGGACGTTTAAAGGTCGCTGGGCGGGCAGTGGCGGGCAGTCGTCGTGGACGGAGCAGCGAGAACAAGGTAATGGTTTCGGAAGATTTCAGAGAGGTGCAATCTCTGATGAACCAAGAGGAACCAAGGAAAGAAAATGTCAAACTGCGGGGAGCTTCCTCTATGTACAGATACGATTAGTGCCATTATTTCCTGGGGAGCGTCGTACTAGTTACAGTAGACAGCGGAGGCACGGGAGAGGAGCCTGGGCAGATTGAGCCGAGGCCGACGGAGCTACGTTCCATATTATTAGAGGCTGTCTCCGCCTCGAGCGGGCCTGTAGCCTCGCCTCAGTGCACTAACTAACTAGCTAGGTACTGGCGGCTGGTCGAGCGTTTACGAGTATCATGACAGGACGATTACGGCTGATGGAATATCATCAATTCGATGCCAAGATGCCAAGCTTGATAGGGCTGTCTCACTGTTACACGACTCCTTGCCCGTTGCAAGTGTCACAATCTTTCTCGCTATCCGGCAATGTTGCTGTGGGCCACTCACTCAAGCAGGTAGCATCACATGCTAAACAAATAGCCTTGGCATCTCTTGCGTTTATTATGGTGGCGCCGCTCCCTGGCCACGACTTCTGCAAACAGAACATTCTTAGATGACATGGGAGATTTATATTTTAATCCAATTTCTGATTTTCATGTGCAGATTTCTCGTAAAGACAAACATTTTATACGAGAGATTATGCGTCTTGAGATATCAATACGTAATGCCATTCATTATGCGCAATCGCCCATTTGATTATGCCAGCTGCCTGCCTCTCGTCGTAAAGACGTGAATACCAAAAGGAAAACTTGGCAAAAAAAGAAATTATAACAACATGCGATGAGTTTTCCCCGCATCTCATCCCACCGTCATCCTCATTCATGAAAAGAAGAAAAACTTTGATTGAATAAAAACAAATTTATGCTCTCTTACTCACTCATAAAAGCTAGCTGGCCCTCCGCTGCCAGATTTTGGTATCGTTGCTCATTTCGAAATCATCCTCAAAAAAAATGTGCTTTTTACGATGAATTGTACAGTTTGTAAATGAAGAAGAAAAAAAGGGCTCGCAACAACATTGGGCGAGTCACTTGCGTCAGCTTCGAATATCCATCAAAGATGCAGAAAACGCCATGGTAAGGGAAAATGGTCATGAACGTGAAGACGCGAAAAAAAAACCCAAAATCAGCAGGTCGTGGTGAAAGAACACACGAAAGAAAAAAGCTGACAGGAAAGATGCTAAACAAATATTGTCAAGATGCAATCGGCATCAAACAAGGGGAGAAAAGTCGTTAGTTGGTCATGCCCGTCTGCATATTCGTGTATTCTCTGGCTTCGTAGTAGCTAGGCAGAGGTAGGGAGGTTGGGTATGAATGTACATCATGCTGGCCGCAATTAGAAGCACAGCCTTCCAAACAAGACTCAGATGAAGCCTATTCCATTGAAAAGACTCAAATGTAGCCTATTCGATTGCTGCTGCTCGATTGCTCGAGCGCCGTGGCCCACGAATCCAGCGAGTCCAGCTCGTGCAATGTCGTGTGCAGGTCCTCTTCAAAGTACGGATGCAGCTTGACGCCGAGATGGTCCTCAAAGATAGCCACGGCCGCGTCGTAGCGCCGCCGACAACGCTTCGTCCAGGGGCTCAGCCGCACGGGGCTGTGGTAGCAGTACGCGTTGGACTTGGCGTCGCGTATCCTGCACAGCACCTTCATGCTCTTGAGCGTCGCCCAGAGCTCCGTCGTCGCGTGCTTGGTATTGTCCGACTTGGGCTCCGTCGCGTACAGGAGCTGCAGGACGGCGTACCGCACCACTAGCACCTCGGGGTCCGTCTCGCCCTGCTTCTGCTCCAGCTGCGCGTGCACGGCGCGGAGCTCGAGCGCAATCTTTTGCAGCCGGTCAAAGTTGACGTGGTTGTTAAAGTAGGCCAGGTCGAGCCACGCGCGGACCACGTACGGATGTCGTCGCCCGTAGATGGCTTCTAGCTCGTTGGCAAAGAGCGGAGAGCAGCCCCAGAGCAGCTCCGACAGCACCGCGGCGCCGTGGTTCTGCTGCACGTCGTACAGGCAGCTAAAGATGGCCCGCATCGGGTGGTTCCGATCCAGGTTTGTCGTCGCATGCGCGGCCAGATACTTGCAGAGCGAGGCCACGAGGCCCAGGTCACGATTCGCCATGCCCGTCAGGAGCTCAAAGATTCCCAGCGGCGAGAGCGTCTTCAAGTCTTCTTCCAGCTGCTTGAAAGCCCGCATGAGAGCCTGTCCGCCAGTATCCGTGTCCAGCGCCTCGAAGAAAAAGTTGGCCTCGAGGAGAATCTCTGAAGACCAGGCGCCCCACGTCTGCACCACTGTCCAGCCAACCTGTGTGCCGACGTCGTTTTCGAATTGGCGGCACTGGAGGAACGCTTTGCGAATGTTGCCGACGAGGATTTCTTGCGCGCGGACCAGCTCGGGCGAGTGAAAGTAAATGGGCGGCGGCGGCGGTGTTGGTGTTCGGCAGCGAATGTGTGCCGGCAGGTCCGCGGGTTGCTCGAAATCGATGAGGTCGTACTCTGTAACGCCTTTGCGTTTGAGATAGGTGCCAAGGTTCACGACCCGACCGTTGCGGACAAACTCGGAAATCTTGCCTTCAGCATCGCGCTGAAACTTCATCGACAAGAGCCTCTTGACTTCGTCTTCAGTATTGTTCTTGACAAATCCCCACTGCGAAAATCGAGTCTTGTACATTTTCGGCCTGCAAAAAAACCACATTAGCCGCATTTCGTTTCACGGATTTCCATTTCAGCTTACGTTGCTTGGAAGCTGTACTTTTCCGCCATGATGGACATAACTTCCTTGAGAGGTTTGCGATCGTCCAGGTAGAGTGAGCGAATGGTGGACTTGTGCTGTTCCCAAACTTCTGCCGGGACCAGCTCTCGGCCTGGACGCAAGCCGTGGCCTCGAAGCGCAGACACCGCCTGTCTCAAGGTCTTTTTGCATGTCAGCATCGCCTCGGAGGATGCATCCGTCGAGCATCTTACCAAAGACCCGGGCGAAGTAACATCTGCAGTTGTTGAAGGAGTTGCCGGAGTCGCAGGTGTCTGCGGTGCCTTTTCCGTGCTCGGGCTGGCGAGGAGATTTGCGGTATCCAGTCGAGGACGGGGAGGAGGAGGTGGTAATTGCAGTCTCGACCGAGGTGGCTTGGGAGGTTTTGGCGGCTTTACCGCAGCCTTACCCTTGCCCTTTGCGGTTGAGGTAAAATCCAATGTTATCTGATGCGTTTCCTGGATCGGCTTGGGCTTGGGCGGAACGGGCGGTTTCTCGAACAGGTTTTTTGAAGACATCATGGGGCTGTCGGGTGGCGGCTCTTGTTTGACTGCTGGAGACGAGGGGGGACGCCATACCGAGAAGCCTGGCGTTCCGGAAGTGGTTGAGCTCCCAAAACCATCCTGGAGGGGCTTCTTCTGCGACTGTGTCGACTGGCGACTGCTTTGTCTGCTGGGTTGGCGAGTTGGTTGTTGAGCTGGCTCAACTGGTTGGCTGGATTGGGTGGGCTGAGTCGTCCGGATGTGTTGAGGTGGCTTGGTCGGTTGAACAGACTGGCCTGACTGGTTTAATTGGGTGAATGGAGATGTTAATGGTTGATCTCTACTGCTCAATGGCTGGTTCGGTTGTCGATGAACTGACTGGGCTGCCGCAAGATTAACCTGCTGAGCCGCATGAGGAGTTCCATGCCGACTTTGTAGAGTTTCTTGTCGGATCTGCAGAGGTTCTTGTCGAATCTGCAGAGGCTCTTGTCGTGTTGATTGCAAGCTATATTGGCGGTTGCTACCTTCAAGGTCAGACTTTAAAAAAGTCAAAATGTTGCGCTCGACATCGTCAAACATGTGAGAGTCAGTAGTATCCATGCTTTCCGTATTCATCAAGGTCTTGGTCTCCCCGCCAAAGGGAGTCCGGGTTCTCTCGTCTGGAAACTGAGGCATGCCTGAAACGACATGGGACCGAACGGCGTTGACGTGGGGACTCGCAATGCGCGCATGCGGGAATGCTCCGAAATTCAAGAGCGGCGAGCCAGACTCCATACTGTTGACATCATGCGGACTGGTGATCCTCGAGAGAACATCGCCAAAGGATCCGTAGTGAGAATCAACAGGGCTACCGACGGGGCTTGCTGCATGATTGGCATGTGCAGCACTGGTCAAACTGCTGAAATAGGAGGAAAAAGATGAGTTGGACATTGAGGGGTCTGTTTCCGCAGGACTCGAGGCGGTGTTGGTGATGGGTCTGGGCGGCAGAGGAGGCACATAGTCCTTGTGCTCAAATTGGGCCACTAGGCGTCCTACACCGCTGACTTGGGGTTGTGCTTGCGGAATCTCGTCGAAATCAATCAAGTCTTCTTGGTCGTTAAAGGTGTTGCCGTTGCGAAAATGAGAGCCATGGCCAGTGGGCGTTGGCGTCCAGTCCATTGCGTGCGAATCCAAGCGAGACATGTCGTCGGGTATCCTGGCCAGCTGGGACGGAGCGATGGAGCCAAACCCGTCTCCCGAGGAAAAGTAATCATTGTGCCTCATATGGTTATAGGCATCAAGCGAAAAGCCTGGCGCACGAGCCTTGTCGGAATCATGGTCAAACATGGCGATTTTGCCTCGGGTACTGGGGATCAGTACGACGACCCCAGGTTGGACAGGTAACGTTGTTGGTGATGAAGGTCAGGCGACTTGCTAGCCGTAGCCGATGTCGTCAGTTCTCGAGACGTAAAGGCATCCCTTGTGAGCCAACGAGCCAGAGATTGAGCGAGAGCCAGAAAAGAAGATTCAACGGCCGGGTGTGGAGGGGCTCAACGGTTGCAGCCCATGCTAGTTGTGACGGCGGCGGTCTATATGCGAGACGGAGAGAGAGAGGGAGAGAGAGAAAGAGGTCTGTACAGCGGTTGGACTGGGAGAGGTGATGTGTATAGGCAGATGTTACAGGGACAATCGAGATTGAGCAATGGGCGTGATGAGACGTGATGCAGGTGGGTGACTGTGAGATTTGGTCCCGCTGCCTTGTCGACGAAGGAGAAGAGGGCAGCCAGCCGTTGTGAGGCAAAGGTCGTGCTGAGGTGTGGTGGCGCAGCAAACAGGTTATGCGATATACAAGGGGAAAAGTGAATCCAACAGAACCCTCAGAAAAAAAGTGGCCGCAATCGAGAAGCCTGTTTTTAATATCGAACAAGAAAAAAGGATAAACCAGTCAAAACGAGAGCGCCGTTGTGCCTCGACTGGTTAGCAGCTTCGAGAGTCAGATAAGAAACGACAAGGTCGGCGGGGAGTGGAGAGTAAGGCAAGTAAGGGTAGACGGATTTTCCTTGGGAAGAGGAGAATGTAACCTAATGCGAGAGCTGGGGGGGTGGAGGAGAAAGAGGAGGACGGCGATTACAGTTGCTATCCGTCCCAGAGACCGCCAACGAAAACGCCATGACTGGGGTAGGGCTGCCAGCCAATGCGTTGGGCCAGCTAATAATACCTGTAGTAGCCATGTTGCCAGGTTGCCATGTGAGGGAAAATGCTGATGAATGCCACCATCGACCTGAAAGAGAAGGTGGAAAAGGCTGCCACTCACAAGCCACCACACACGAGCAAAGTAGCGCCAATCACAAGACGGTGATACTGGCCCTCCCCGCTTCCCTCCCCTGGCTCGATCCCGCATAACAGGTCTTCCGGGGGGGGCCACAGCTGGGGCGCATCCCAGCCAGAACTGAACTGATGATGAGGAGCACGACTCACCACCAACGAAACTCCACTATACGTTGACTAGGTTGAACTAGTTGGCAACTTCGAGAAGTAATCCCTCTGGCGGGCGTTGGCATTCGCAACTAGTGGATAGGTGGCTTGGAGCCTGAGAGCATGAGGGGAATGGGGTGTGCTATCAACTTTGTTGTGTGTTGCTGTTGCGTGGCGTTTTGGCCCGGGCTGCTGCTACAAACGGAACGGAAAAAAAAAACTTGGAGAAAAGCAGGCGCCACCACTACCTAGCTAGGTACCAAGAAAGGAGCGGTAGCCGTCACCAGGCCCCCAAGCCCCCCTCCGAAAGGCTGGCGCGCCTCGCTCGTCATCAACGAGGCAACTTGTTGTTTTCCCTCCGCCCCCGGGCCAGAACAAGAAAAAAAAAAAAAAGGCCCGAGACACTGCGACAAGTCGCCGCCGACGCCGCCGCCGCCGCCGCTCGCGTACGTGTTGTCTTGTGAGCGGCGGGCAATGACACAGAGTGACGGAGGAGAGTCGACCCTGAACTCGGACAAAGATCCAAGATCCTGGGGGGACCAAGGGGAGGGGGGGGGATTGCAGGGCGGGCTCCAGGGCTTGTGGGTACAAACTGCGAGCTGATGAAGCGGACATGGTCTAGTGCAGTGGGCATGGCGAATCCTTTTTATTCGTACAGATGGACAAAACGGGGGTAATTGTTCATCTTGCACGTCACTGGCTCTTAATGTTTTGCTGCTATTAACCAAGCAGGCAAAAGAACAGAAAAAGAAGAAGGGAAAAAAGAAAAAGCGCAAGGCTGGCCGTGAGGGTGGGGCGGAAAGAAAAATACACGACTCAGTGTGACGACTAGAACGGGTGATGAGGCGAGGGAAAAACGCAATGAGGCAATGAGGGTAGGAAATGGCGGCCCATGGCTCTACCCGGATTGCGAGTGTGTGTGTGTGTGCATGTGCTGGACTTGGGGCAAGCCGCCTGGGGGTTGTGGCGCGCCGCCCCATATGCAAGAGAAAAAAGCCCGTCAGTTCTATTCCATCCACCGATAACCTAAGCTCTGATAATGAAGTAATGTCGGCCGTTCCAAGTTCCGACGACGACGACGGGGGCGGAAACCTCTCAGTCGCAAAAATGAACCAGAGAGAACCAAGACATGCATTTCTATGAATAGCACCGAAAATGTCTAGAGTCCCTGGTCTACAGACTACTGGATGGCAGGCTGGGCACGACAGGTGTCTTAAACTTGTGCCCGCCTCCTTGGCGTGTGCTTCTCCCGGGGGGCAAGGAGGGAACTGCAGGGCCCTAAAAATGCCCCAGGGCCATGTGGCAAGAAAGCCACGGCGTCTTGAACAGCTCTTCTTGGAGTGAATTGATCGGACGGTTTTCAACGGTCAACGAACTAACTACGGCTACCCGAACATTTTGAGACTTGATTTAACTGGCAAATTCGCCAGTCTTGAGCCCCTGGCTGCATGGCATGCGAGTTTTGTGCGGGTGCGGGTTGCGGGGAAAAAAGTGACAAGGGGGGCCCTCCAAGATTTTCGTAAGACTTGACAGCTCAATATATAATATGTATGTGCTCTTATAATGGGGAAGAAGTTTTGCTAGAATGTTACGATGGATGGACCAGTAGTCGGCTCGCCAGCGTTTATGAAGCCGCCAATTGATACACAGCAGCAAAACTCGAGTACTGGCGGGAAAGAAAAAAGGCAAGAAACAAGAAAAGACAATGCCAGGCAATCTCGTCATCTCGGATTTCGACGCAACGGCTCCACTTGCGTTGACGATAAGGGCCCCCATTTCAACCTTTTTTTTTTTTCAATCCCGGATAACCGGTCAGTGGAGAAGCAGGCATGTGAACAAGTTGAACAAAAATTATGTTTTATCCGCTCTCGTTTATTTAAGCGGGCGTTGCTCATCACAGCATTCTTCTGACCGGTGGTGCAATCTTGAAAGGATTGTTTTTTTATCAAGGAACCAAAAAAAGGGTACGCCAGTATCTGGCTACCAGCTACAGAGTAGTTATGTAGTCCACAAAAGGCACGAGGGGTTACCACAGTAGTTCAGACAAGACCCTGAACCCGCCCTCCAAGTAGACCTTTTTCGTGTAATCATGTTATATGGACGGGGGTTGTTTTTTTTTTTTTTTTCAACAAAAGGATATAAATTCCCACGGCAACTACCGCCGCAGAGCCGGCAAAGAGAAACGAAGAAGAAGAAGAAAAAACAGTGCATTGGTAGGTAGGTCAGCAAAAAGACTGAAGAATTTGACGCCACAATGCGCAGCCGCTAGGCAGGAAAGAGTTGCATCGCGGCGGTTGCGCGAGTTTAATAAGTCGCGGGCCTTTCATAAGCTAGGCACATGCATTCACCAAAAAAAAAAGGGAGAGGGAAAGAGGCAATTTCAATGTTGGCAGTTTCTCAAGACCTCAAACCAACTACTATCTACTTGGGTAGTTGGTAACATGTGCGAGTTGTGACAAACGACACAGAGACGGCCCGCCGGGGGGGGGGGGTTACCAGCAGGAAACGATCGTCGCAGCCATCTTGAGCCAAGGCTTGGCTTATTCCGTTTTTTGCTGCCAATAAGAGTAGGCGGCCATCTTTTAAACGAGCACCGGCAAGACGGGTAAAAGATGTCGGAGACACATGTTTACGACTCATTGACCAAAGAAGTTTTGTTAAAGTGATCAACAACAAGACTTTACAACCTTGCAAATGGCACTGGGAAAAGGACAAGCGCTAAAATACTTTGCTCGTTATTATTATCTGGCGGTCAACTTTTGGATCCCTGATAAGCAGTCAAAAGCAGCTTCCTATTTCGACAAGACTTGACGGGGATCTCTTCTTTCCTTCCTTTTCTCTTCTTCTTCTTCTTCTTCTTTTTTTCTTTTTTTTTTCGTTCCTGCTGCCTAAAGACTTGAACAATTTATTAGCCAGAGGCGGGGCGTGCTCTCATGTTACTGATCTTGTGTCACCACGTCGGATCAACCTCATCCTTGGAATAACTCTAACCTTGTCAGGCTGCGGCTGCCGCAACATGCTTTTGGAGGGAATCGCAGCGGCATATCAGCAACTTGTACTTTGTACTCCGTAAAAATGTTGTGGTGGGCATGATGTGTGGCGGGCGCGCATGCTTATTTTCCCCGGGGCTGAATGCGGGCGCAGGGCAATGAGGGGGCCACACTTCACCGTGTGTCTCACTTTCTTCCATGATTCCGGTTCGGAAATGCATCTTCTTCTAATTAAGAGTACGGTGCGAGAAAAGTTGCGAAATGTCATAAAATATAAAGACAAGAAACGGCAAAGGGAGAAACCATAATCGCCAATAATAGCGGCTGTTGGCAAGGATTACATGACTTATCTCCACTACCTCCTATTCGTACCCTGCCTTGAATGTTTTCAACAAGGGAAAAAAAAAAGAAAAAAAAAAGAACAAGTCCGTCTTGCATTCAATCGTTTGCGCGCGCGCGCACACACACACACACACACACAGTTACTTTGCTTGATGATGATGAATTATAAACAAGATCAAGTCGCAACTTTTTGGCCGCCCAACACAAAAAACAGAGAGAGGGGAGGGACAGAAGAGAAAAGAGGTGGCCGCGCCACAGCGGAAAAGGTGGACGCAACATTTCTTTCGCTTGTCGTCGGCTAAATAACACGGGGGGAGGGGGAATTCTTGGGGTACGGAGTTACCCTGTGTACTTTCTACTTTACCCCGTGGAGTCGGGACAAAAAAAAAAAAAAAGAAAGAAACGTAATAATAAATAAAGAAAGGCTTAGTATTTCCCCGCGATGCATAAACGCAAACATGACATGTTACCCCCTCCCTTCTTCCCCCCCCGCCTTATGTGCGTATGTGTACACATTTCCCCACGGGGTCTAAAACGAGGTCATGATGATGTCTGGGGTAAAACAAAATTAATCAATGCAACGTTTTCATCTGCAGCGGCGCCCGCCAATCCGCATAATACTCTACATGTTTAATCTTTTGCAGCGACGACGCAACTTGCAACTTGCTCGCCCCCTTAAATAACTGCTAAAAACTTTAAAATATTAGCAGCCATTTCGGGGCACAGGAGTTTGTTAGCAGTATGTAATGGAAATTACCCCGGTCCCCTCCCCTCCTTCGTCCCATGTACAAGCAACGGTAATGAATCAAGGGCTGAAAGCAAAGCCCTTTTTGTATATACAGACTACCTTGTTCTATAGTTTGTCTCTTCTATTCTTATTACACCATACAAAAACGCGCTACAACTTGCCCCCTACTCGTTCGTCCTGACATTGTAGCTGAGCTGCTGTTCCTGTCCTTGTCGTAGACCGCCGCTTCATTTCGAATTATTCGTGGCTTTTATTTACCTTACACCCCCCCCCCCACCTCCCTTTTTTTTTGTCACTGCGGCCCTTGTTTCGACAGACGGTCCTCCCATTTCAAAGAACGACTCGACCGTACGAGGCAAGGCTTAAACCTAGTCCGCCACGCAGGCGGAAACACTTCATTTCCAATATCTTGGGCTATTTTTTTTTCTTTTTTTTTTTTTCAATTCTTCCTCAAGTAGGAATCTTCTCACAGAGATGAGTCGCATTTGGCATGATTGGCATGATTGGCATGATAGAGCTTCCGATGCCGACCCCCCGAGCATCACCGACGTTGCGCGACGTGTTATACCCCTCAATCCTCCTTGACATTCGGCGAAAACAACCCAACCTTGATTCTGCGCCAATCGAAAGCAGATTACGAAAACAACAATCATCATGGACCCAGTCAGTGTTTAATACACCATGGACTTTTTCTACAGCTACCTACCATCCACAACTTATTCATCACATGAAACGGGACATGCCAGCTTTTGTTCATTGTGTATAAATTCCATACTGATTCAAAAACGACGCCAATTCCTAAAATTTTAAACGGCCCCTTTCCCTCAACCTTTTTCACGCCCTCATCACCAATTATCTGATTCATCATTGAAAAGGCGCACTCCTTTAATCATTATTATTCTTCGCGTCTTGCAACAGTAATGGGCCGACACTTGTAGATCGAAAGAGCCCTCGTCGATAAGAACTGATTGAAAGGATATAAGAGAAACAAAAAGAAACCGCTGCCCAACCGGCAACTATAACTCCCACCATCCAGATAAAAAAAACGTCGAGTGGGAAATATTTAAAAAATTAAAAAAAAGAGGAAATATTGTTCAAGTAGTGTGGTACATGTTGGAACCTTCTCGAACAATCGAGTATAAAAAGGTGAAGTAAGGAATAAAAAAAGTAATAGTACATGTGGGAATCTCAAGTCTAGGTAACAAGAAGAACGGGTAGGTGAAGAGACAACAGCGCCGTCTGGGAAAGGGGGAAAGGTAAGTGAAAAGACAACAGCGCCGTCCAGGAAAAGAAAAAAAGCTCAGTGAAAAGAGACACCAGCGCCGTCCAAGAAGAGAAAAGCAAATCTTCAAGTTGAAACAAAGAATCAAGCCAGAACAGCGTTTTGCTGGCCAGCTTGTCATGGAACCTCCTCGCCAGCATCCTCTTCTCTGAAGCGAATGCCTCCGTCGATGCGAAGCGCATTCACAACCCACGGCTCGGCTGCCACCTTTTCCAAGGTCCAGCGGTTGCGCGAGCGTCTGAGCAGGCCCTCGACAATGTGCATGGCGCCGAGCAAACCGCTTCGCTCAAACTTGGCCGCGTCGCCCTCGTGGTCTCCATCGTCGCCTGCATACTCGACCCAGCGCCATTCAACACGCGCGATGCGATGGCTTGTGCGACTGCGCATGCGGTGTGCATCGCTCATGCCGGGGTGAGGATCAAAGGGAAGACGAGCTTCGAGCAGCGCGTACAGCAAAACGCCCAGGGACCAGGCGTCTGTGGCGCGTCCGTCGTATTGTTGGCCTAGGATGACTTCGGGAGCAGCATAATCGTCGGAGCCGCATCGCGTTTCGAGTTGCTCGCCTGGCGCTATACGTCGCGAGAGACCAAAGTCGGCGAGGGCAATGATGGAGTAGGGATATGTCGACCAGTTGATGTTGGTGCTGGCAAGATCGGTCGCGGGTATGTTGACGAGAACGTTTTCAAGCTTAATGTCGCGATGAACAATATTTTGTTGATGCAAATAGTGAATGGCAGAGACAAGCTCGGCCACGATGCGGCCCATCAAGGGCGAAGTCAAGCTCTTGCGGTGCGAAGTAGTGACATCAAACAAATCACCACCCGGACAAAAACTCATAACCAAGATGGCGCGCGTGGGCTCGATGCTCCAGGCCTTGAGGTCGAGAAGCGAAGGATGGTGAATGACCTGCATGATTTCCAGCTCACGCTTGAGGCTCATCTCGACGCGGTCCTCGCTTGCACCGCCTCGCGGACCATGTTCGCAGACTTTGACAGCAACTAGGGTTTTGCGGGGTAGACGGCACGCGGCAGGGGTGCCTGGCAGCATCTCTGGACCGTCGCCATCAGGAACAATTTGACTGGTCGCGAGCATGACTCGACTAAAAGTGCCGCGACCGAGAACGCCGAGAGACCTCCAGCGCCGCTTCTTGCCATCACTGCGGCTTCGCGCCTTGAAATACTCGAAAGAGGGTTCGTGCGCCTTGGCCGGACTGTCCATGAAATCCTTGGACGAGTCGCTAGGAGGAGGCGTCGGGGGCTTGGTGACGGTAGGGGTCAGGCCGCGCGACTCGGCCAGGTGAGACTCTCGTCGCAGCCCAGAGTCATTGTGCTCAGTGCCATCTCTTCTGGAATGAGAGCCTGAAACGACAATGGATCGCTTTGGAATTGAGATGGGGTCAGGCACGTACTCGCTGACGCTGCGATTCCTCGTGTGGTATAGTTTTTGGTTGCCAGTCGATGAGGATTGCGTCGGCGCAGGTATGGAATCTTGCTGTCGGCTGTTAAGGTAGGGTTTGCGCTTGGGCGACGTAGAGGGGGGTTGAGAGCCACGCTGGGTGGAATTGGAAGAGGCTGCTTCGCCCACAATGTCGAGTTTAGCTCGGTACTGAGGGGGAGAAGCCGAGTTTATACTCAGGCGCGACCAAGGGCCAGGCGAGTCGGTTGACATGAGGGGACTGGGCAACGGGGTGACGTCGCCCATGGCATTGATGACGGGGCTGGAGACATTGCTATTGTATCCGGCGGACGAGGCAAACGCGCCTGTTAATGCAGCTTTAAGACTTGGTGTTCGCGCGAGCTGCACAGAGTTGGTAGAGGTGGTTCTGTTTAGAGAATTCCGCGAGGGTGAAAGGTTGCGGTTGTCTGGAGCCGGGACATCGCGGTAGTTTGGAAAGGAGCATACACCAGGTGATGCTGAGAGGACGTCGGTGGATATTCTGAGCGCATTGGCTGAGCTGTTGGTGGGATGGCCATGATTGACGCGCGATGGCGAGTGGACGCGATCGCCTGGAGAGGCGGCCATTTGCGCAGGCGAGGGCGGCGACAGGTTTGTGTGTCTCGGCATGGGGCTAGGCGTGGTCTCCAGGTCTAGCAGGATAGACGGGTGGGAATCATGGTATGCTAGCTTTTCATGACGAGGAGCGCGGGCATCGGATTCATTGTCGGAAGGCTTTGAGGAAGTCGAGAGGAATGTCATAGCTTGACAAAGGTGTGAGCCCGGGGAAGCTATGACAGTGGCGCGACGGGTGCAACGACAGGGTGTCTAGCCAATAGGCGGCTTCGAGCAATAGCTGCTTGCGCAATGACGAGTTCATACAGCAGTTACGGGACAGCCGAGTATTGTTTGCGAAGTGGTGAGGAGCCAAAGGGTGTCGAGAGGACCAGGCGTGCGTGGTGTGGTAATGTCGGAAGATGACTGGAAATTTTGCGCGGGTTGTTGAAGGGGCGATTGACGTGGGGGAGTATCGAGAAGGGTAGCGAGGAATCGAATTGAGGCAAGACGACGACGGGAGGGGAGAAATGGCGGCGAATATGGTCGTGAGAGGTATATTGGTGGGCGAGAAAAGAAGTTTAGAATCAAGGTTGGCGGGCTGACTGAGCTGGCTGGGGGCGGGTGTTGACTGGGGAGGCAGGCGGCCAGACAGGTCGCTCCTTCCTTCTCAAGCTCTGACTGTGGGCTGCCGGCTGCTGATAGATTTCGGCTCCACCACTCCACTATGATAGGGCAGAGCCAGGTATCTCTCATGTACATGGGAAAACTATTGGCGCCATAGTATATGGAATAGGCTGGATCGGTACTTTGTAGATACAATTTCACTCAATCACAGTACAGTAGGCTTTAGTTAGTGGTTTGAGCAGACGCTCTAGGCAAGCGACGCCGGCCGCGATGAAGATGCACTGTGATTATATGGTCACGCCTCCAAACTCTAACCTGGGGTGATGGATGTTCACGACGTCAATGTAGGCTCACGGTTTATTTAATTGAAATGGCCAGACTTTAGCGACTCCTCGTCGTCTCCCTGCAGGCTACCACTTAAGCTACCCAAGCATCCAAGCACCTTTCAACTAGTTAGTTGGCGCTGGAGCCAACGCCAGATGCTACGTTCCAGTGCAGTAAACATGGCGCAGTGGCAGACACACTCTGTCGAATCGTCCATTACATTGACAGCTGGACTTGTATTTATTCTCCAATGTCGGTTTGATCTCTATCCAATCCCATTCCATGCAGCCCATTTTCCTCAGCCGTCCTGCACCCATCATTCTCCCACTCCCCGTCAACGGTGTCGTGACTCTTGACCCAGACGCGGATCGTCGCTGACAAGCCACGTACGTCTCCGGCATCGTCCCCTGCCGTGTCTTCCCCTGCAGCGCGCCCGCCCTTGGCAAAATTCCCTGCAACCTATCCTAATACCTACGTTACGCATCGAAGATGTGCATGGCATTTCGACCTTTTTACTCAGCAGCTGTTTGTTGAACTTGCGCACCCAGTCAGCCAGTCCAACCAGTCAGCATCCATGATGAAAGAAACAAACAGCTTCTCTCAGCGCTAAACCGTTTTGGGCTTCCCGGCGCACCACCTCCGCTACATGAAGGCGAAATGATTAATTTTAGCGACCAACCCCAGCTGTCCAGGCAGCATCGTGGCCGTTATCACTCGCTACCATTGTTTCAGCGTATGTGCACTGTCTGTGTGGGACGCAAACTTGCGACATGACCAACACAATCAGTCGGTTCGTTGCCTCTTGACTCTGTCGTAGCAGCCGGCAATGTGTATTCGTAGCGCACGCTGCGACGCTTGCGCTAGGAAAAGACATGCCCGGCACTGCAAACAGCATTCAATATCGTCTCCTCCAGATAGCCGCAAAGAATGGCCCTCTTATTTTGTTTTACGGCCGCTGTGAGACGTAGCGGAGCATCCGACAGCCGATTGTAGAATTAAACGCGCCGCATCCATGTTTTGGTTGCCACTCTACGTTTTTCCGTTCCAACGGCTCCAATTCTTTCCGCCCTCACTCTTTCATGCAGACGTCTCCCAATCTCAAGCACTGCATACCGAGGCCCGAAATATGTCCATGCTTTTCGTAACAAAACGGTACGGTCCAACGGAACTCCTCCAACCGGCCCGAATTGTTGCAACCGACCGAATCGCCCAACCACGGCAACACGCCGAACCGCAAACACACACACACACACACACACACACACACACAAAACCCAACGGACTGGCTCCGACGAAAAAAAAAGGCACACAAATCCTTGCATATAGTCGGTCTGCAATTATCGCTCTATTCCCCGACCCATCCCTCCACTCTTCCTTGTCGCGCCCAAATCCGCGCAGAACATTTGTGTTTCTTGCACTACATCCGCCACGGAGGCGGTCTTCCCGCCGAGCCCACCCCTTCGGACGCCGAACAACTACGGAGCGGCCCCCTGGCCGGGCCTTTGCCCTCGAGCAACAATTTTTTCTTCTCCCTGCTGCAAATTTCCCTTTGTCACCATTGTCTTTTTTTTTGTTTCTTCGTTTCATATTCGTCTTGTTCCTTTTTTTTTTCATTCTTTTGGTCAGCCCGCAGCCCGCAGCCCCGCGTCCCGACGCCTTTTTCGCAACAAAACGCCCCGACCCTTCCGGATCAGCGGCCGGTCACTATTTTTGAGCCCCGAAAACAGTTCCGGAGTTGGCAACGTCATAGCTAGCGCTCCGCCCGGCCCTAGATTGCGCCCCGCTTCTCAGGGTCGGTGCGATAGCGGGCTTGCCTTCTTATACGTAGCAAACTATATAAATGGAAGAAAGAAAGAAAAAGTATAAATCACATAAAACTCCCCCATCTCCCTTTTATTTCGGATGCGCCGCTTTCTTTTCTCTCCAATTTGTGTTGCCCTTTGCCTTTTTCTAACTCTCCTAGGACGGGAAACTTTCGTCTAAATACACCAGCCACCCACACAACAATGGCATCGGTACTAAGACCAGTGGCGGCGCGCATCACGCTGCGCAGACCTGTCGCGGTCTCGTGCGCAGCCTCCAAAACGACACTCCTCCCCAAGACGACAACATTACCAACGCGTCGAACATTTCTCACGACAACGTCACTGCTTTCGCAAAAAAAACCGGCCGAGTACTCCAAGCTCTGGGACAGCGCGGACCGCGCCGTGGCCGACGTCAAGAGCGGTTCCACGATTCTCAGCGCCGGCTTCGGGCTCTGCGGCGTCGCAGGTACATCACGCCCAACATTCCCCCAAACGGCAGCATGGTTGATAAAAATAGCTAACAAATCTTTTCAACAAAAAAAGAAACACTCATCGAAGCACTCCACCGAAGAGGCAAGGACTCGCTACATTCCCTCGCCGCCGTGTCCAACAATGCCGGCATCGAAGGCAAAGGCGGCTTGTCGCTACTCATCGGCAATGGCCAGATCAACAAGCTGACGCTGTCCTATCTCGGCAACAACAAGACGCTGGAAAGGGGCTACCTAAACGGCGACTTTGCCGTCGAGCTGTGCCCCCAAGGCTCGCTGGCAGAGCGCATCCGGGCTGCCGGCGCCGGTATCCCCGCCTTCTTTACCCCAACTGGTGCTCGTAAGTCCCCTCCCCCCCTTTTTCTTCGTTTTCGCTCAATCGCAGACGCCCCCAAGCTCTAACGTTGAAAATCAGACACTTTGGTGCAAGACGGCGAGATTCCAGTGCGGCTCAGCCCCGACGGCAAGACGCTCGAGCGCGGCACCAAGCGCGAGACGCGCGAGTTCAACGGCAAGACGTTTCTCATGGAAACTTCACTTCCTGGTGACGTGGCCATTCTGCGCGCTTACAAGGCCGACAAGGCCGGCAACTGCGTCTTTCGGTACGCCTCTCCCATCAAGTCGCCCAATCACACACACACACACATATATCTATATCAAGTATAGGCTAACCCAAACACTTTTTTTCTTTCTTTGGCAGCTACACGACAAAAGCCTACGGCGTTCTCATGGCCAAGGCCGCCAAGCTCACCATTGTCGAAGCCGAAAACATTGTTGAGATTGGCGCCATTGGCCCCGACGAGGTCGATCTCCCCGGCATCTTTGTCGACCGCGTCGTGCCGGCCACTGCCGAAAAAAAGATTGAGATTCTCAAGATTCGCGAGCCCTCGGCGAGCGACAACAGCGACAATAACAACAACAACAACAACAACAACGGCGCCGAGGATCGGCCGTCGCAAAACCAACACCAAGCACGTCGCGAGCGCATCGGCAAGCGCGCCTCGCAGGAGCTGCAGGAGGGCTTCTACGTCAACCTCGGCGTCGGCATCCCCACGCTCGCGGCCAATTATATACCGCCGGGCCGCACCGTCTGGTTGCAGAGCGAAAACGGCATGCTCGGCATGGGGCCCTACCCGACCAAAGACCAAGTCGACCCGTACGTTTTACCCCGTCCTTGCCAATTATTTTCTTTTTCTTTTTTTTCTTTTTTTCCTCCTTCTTTCCCTTTTGCCATGTCATCAACTAACTCGAACCTTGGCAGTGACGTTGTCAACGCGGGCAAGGAAACCGTCACCATGGTGCCCGGCGCCTCGTGCTTTGACTCTTCCGAGTCTTTTGGTATGATTCGCGGGGGCCACGTCAATGTTTCGATTCTCGGGGTTAAGTTTTTTTTTTTTTTTTTTTTTTTTTTTGCCCGTCCACTTTCTGTTCCCCCGTCTTCTCTCGCCATGTTGCACACCAACTAACACGGGTGGAATTTACCTCCAGGCTCTGCAGGTCAGCGCGACGGGCGACCTCGCCAACTACATGATCCCGGGCAAGGTCTTCAAGGGCATGGGCGGCGCCATGGATCTCGTCGCCAACCCGGACAATACCAAGATTGTCGTCGCGACCGAACACGTAGCCCGGGACGGCTCCCCCAAGATTGTGCAGGACTGCAGTCTGCCGCTCACCGGCGCGCGCTGCGTCAGCACCATTATTACCGATCTTGTGAGTCTTGCCGGTTTTTTCCCTTCATTATAGGCCTTGTCTTTAGAAGGGGGTTTTTTTTTTAAATAACTGACTGTGTGTTGTAGTGCGTTTTTCAAGTAGATCGCAAGGCGGGGGGTCTAACGTTGACCGAGCTGGCTCCTGGTGTGACGGTCGAGGAGATTGAGAGCAAGACGGACGCGAAATTCACCGTGGCCAAGAACTTGAAAGAGATGGAGTAGAATCATTATCACTTTACATTAGATCTTGCATACTTTATAATAGAGTTGGGAAAAAATATCCAATACAAATCATCAACATCCTGAAAACTATCTCTATACGTTTACATGACAGCTCATAGGCTGACTGGGCTTCGCCGCGCTACCAAACTACTTTATGAACAGCACAAAGGAAGAGAGATACAAATCATTATATTTCCGATTAGTGTGAGTTTACAAGATTTACATGCACACAGCCTTGCACATCGCTCAGCGCCTCTTCGCTCTGGTATGCGCCTCCCGAGCTGCCGTAGCTGAAACAGACTCCCTCTGAAAGAACATATTCCACCAAATCTACCAAAAAGAAAGAGCAGCAGACAAATTCTGAGAAGTGAGTATTCTATTTTGAGTTTGTGCACTACAGAGCTGAGCTTGTCTGCGCAATGTCTCACATTGTGGCATTCCAGTCGTATAGCGTCGGCGTACGCCGAAACCATCACGTCGTGCTTGCCAACTGGCCCAATTCGGCCTTTTTGTATATCATTATGCCATGATCCGGCTTCGAAAACGGAGATGAAGGGTAAAAAAGTGTTGAAGTCTTTCATCTTGCCTCTTTCTACTTCTTCCTCGCCCTTCCAACACTGTACTGCACTATTTACCCCTCCCGACGTGAGACCGCCTCACAGCCGACGCGCAAAATGTCTCTCATGATACGCATACCCAGTCGAAACACCAATCATCACGCTGAAAAATACGCAGCATCCAATCATTCGGATCTCGAGGAGTGGGAGAGCTGGCAGCCCGAGCAGGATGCAAGCCAAGCGAAACAGAGTCATCGCTGTTCATTGCTCCCGTCCGTCCACGCAGGAAGCGACATGTCTCTACGACGGCGATTCCAGGCTTTATTAACTCGCCAGCTGCGAACAAGTCGTCGTTCTTCACCGCCACGTCCAGAGATCAGCTCTACTAGTCAGCTGAGAAAAAGGGTCAGCCTGGGCCGTCTGTCGGTGATGAGCAGAATACGTCAAATTTGCCAGCACGCTTATTGGCAGGCACGCCTCGGCTCGCTGACTCAGCCAGGACCCTCATCAGCCGCCACACCTTCTAGATAGCCTCTCTTCTCTTTCTCTCCTAGATACACATATTTATTAGGTCTTTACTTTAGCTTATGCCTCGCTATATAATTCCGTCACTCTCACTCTCTTTAATCCACCACATAGTAGTAATTACTATTTCTTACTAATTCTAGCTACTAGAAAAACGTTATCTCTACGCTATAAGCCTTAATATAACCTTTTCTATTAGTTTTCTATTAAAAATAAAAGATTAATAACCTTTAAGATTAAGCCTAGCTCTCCTTCACCTAATCCTATCTACTAATATATTATCACACTATAATATACTATAAGAATAATAAGGTCTAAGCTATATCTATTACCTAGATATAAGCTATCCTTAAACACTACCACCTCTTAGCCTAGATTTATTCCTCCTATTTAGTCTTTAAAAGGTTAAGGATATATTAGCTTATTTTAAGCCTTTCTAGTTAGCTTAAAAACCCCTTATTACTTTATTTTAACCCTTTATCTCCCCTTATTTAAATAATACTACTAGATATATAATAATTTATAATAAAACCCTAATTAAAAAAAAAAAAATAACTAAGAGATAGTTAAGGTTATTTTATTAAAAAAACTAACCTAATTACCCTATTAAAGATAATATTATAATCTTAAAGTATACCCCTATCCTTAATACTAGACTTAGTAAAATCCCTACCCTTTTTTATTAAAGAATAAATTAACTAACCTCTACTCCTTCCTCTTAAAGAAGAGCCTATAACCTAATAACCTATAGCTTCCCTTACTCCTCCTAGACTATACCTTTTCCCTAATACTAGTTAATAAAATCTCTCTAACTAATAAAAATAATATTAGCTTCTTAAACTAGATATTAAATCCCCTTACTATAAAACACCTCTATTTAGTATAAAGAAATAAGAAAGACTAATAAAGAATAATATAAACCTTTCTTTTATAAAAGAAATAATAATATTACCTAATTCCCCTTTAATAAATAAACTATTAATAAGAAACACTTTATAAAAACTACCCTTACCTAACCCTTTTAGACACTAGTGTTTAAGATTACTATCTCTTATTAATATAGAATTAGATACTTTATTTTATATCTTTTCCCCTATTAGTATATAATCTATACCCTTTCTATATAACCTAATTAATAATAATAATATAATAAAGACTATACTAATAATATAATATACTAGCTTAGACTATAAAAATAATATTATATAGATTTAGATAACTAAGTAAGAAGTAGCTAAAAACACTTACTATAAGCTCTACCTTATCTTAAAAGCTAATAATAGTAAGGTTAAATTAGCTATTACTATTATTTAGAATATAAAGATAAAAGAATAATAATAACTTAAAGCTTACGCCTTATAAGACCTAATTATAAATTAGACTTCTTTTAATAATATAGTTAAAATAATAAAATTATTTAAATAATTCTTAATAAGCCTAAATACTAATAACCCCTTAAAGTCTCTTATAAGAAACACTTCCTATTATTCCTAATATTCTAACTATTCCTATTATCACATAAACTATTCCTACCTATAATCACCTACTATTTCCCCTAAATAAGGATAAGAGATATAAGATAGACTACCCCCTAGTTTCCACTAATAATTTAAACTAGAGGTTCTAGTATATAACTCTAAGAAGATAGATATTATCTCTTATATTAACTAGATTAGGTAGATAGCTAGTTAGGTAAATATTAATATTATTCTCTAGAATATAGCCTTTAGCTTATTATCTAATTAAGAATTAGATAATTATACTTAGTTTATTAGCTTATTAGAGTCTACTAAAGCTTAATTAGGTAAAGACCTTAATTTATAAATTAAACTCCTATAAAAACACTTTAAGTATAACTATAATATAATTATAAAAAAAGTAGATACCCTTAAATACTCCTTTACTACTAAGGACACCTTAATACTTTAATAATATCTAGACTATAAGAAAGCTCTTTACTATAAGGCTAGTAATATAAATAAAGACTAGATAGCCTACTATATTCTCTATAACTCTAACCTAAGCCTAATAGTTTTAATTAATTCTATAAATAACTTAATAGTAGACTTTATTACCTATAAGCTACTTATATACTATTATAAAGCTAAAAGAGCCTAGGGAGCTTAATAAAATATAATAAAATAGATAATTATAACCTAGGCCTAAACCTTATATTTATTATATAAGGAATTATAATAGTTATAAGATAAAGATTCCCCCTAAGATAGCTACCCTTATTAGTAAAATAATAATAACCACTAGGATAGTTATCCTTAACGCCTAAAAGGTAAATTTAATAACTATAAAAATAGTTATCTTAGATAATAAAAAGCTAACCCTAATAATTATAAAAATAGACACTAAGACTAATCTCTATACCCCTATAATTATTATTATATAAATTAGGAAGATAAGCCTTATAATAGATATAATAGTAAGCCTTAAAATAATCGCCCCTAGAGATAGAAGGACCCTTATAATAGTTAAATATATAAATATAATATAAAAAGGGAATATATATAGCTAATAGAGCCTACTATAGATAATAAAACGCCTTTTACTAGATAACTAATAACCCTATCTATAGATTAATATAAAAAGGTATTTAGCG